GTTTGTTCAATCATCTACATTCAACATGACAGTTTGGTTTCCATTTTAAACTTAAAGTTATTTTGGACCATCATACTCACATTTACTCTGATAAATCAGGTTTAGAAAATTATTTTTATTTTCTTTAGTCCAAAGAAATAAATTGCTACAGAGTTACCACTTACCTAATGGTAAATAGAGAACCTCACCCATGTGTGTTTTGATATTAAAGGGACAGAACTTTGACGGTTCTGTGCTTTTTTAATTCAAACTTGAAATAGTTTCCGAGGGTGACGTGACATACCAAATTTATTTTTCAAAACTATAGAGCTCCGCACAGCGAAGCTGACAATGCAAGCCCTGCGCAGAGTAAACTGGCTTCAGGAATGTTATTTATTAGAGGCAATTTTTTTATAAAGTGTGTGTGTTTTTCTCATGGCTGAGAAACTACAAACTACTAATTGCCCGATTAAGAAGCCAGTGTTTGTCAAAGCCTACATTACAATATAAATATGCCTCGGTCATATGAAGCCAATCACTCTCCTACATAGAGGTTCCTTGTGGCCAGCCTAGTACCTCGGTCACATCTTACACAGTCCATTCATGTGTTTTTCATCGGTTTCATTTTGGCGTCTACACATTTAGATAAACAGAACTTTCATAGAGAAAGTATCCCAAAACGTGAAAAACTAGTTCCGTTTGCATATTTATCCTCCACATGCTTATAATCTTCAAAGCCCTATGGCGATCGACTGTGCGATATCGTCACTTTGATGTGTAAAGGTATATTGTCAAGCACCTCACCTTTGCTGTTGGAGTAGCATATCTATATAATTATGCAAAACAATATGTAGAGCACACAAAAAGGTTTGCATAAGACCTGTCTGTTTTTATATAAGATATCATTATTATGTGCAGCCTCTTGAAGGATGTTGATAAAGTGTACTTTAAAAATATTTAATCAAATTTTAATAATGATGACTCCCTCAATAGCATCCAACTTTAGAAATGTCGGACAAGTCCATTTTACAAGCAGGTGGGTTAAGTTTGGTATTTCCCGCATATTTAAACAATCCTCATGTCGATTACCTGTACTTTTTTTTCCAATACTGATTGTCATATCTAGCCCACTTTTTGGATGCAATCGTTCGGCCATCACGTTTATCTACGTTACTAGCCCAGCTACATCTATGGGGAACAACTTCCTAGACACTTCCCTCTCAAAAGTAACGTTGTCCAATATATGACATCATCAAGTTGTGAGTGCATATTTGAATTTCCAGAAATGACATCACGTTAGAACAATGTCTTATCGTGAAATAAACCATGCTTCATTCTTCATTGTCCTTTGCAATTTATCACGTAACTGTCTTATATTTCAGAATCTGTGCTTTTCTTTACGAACAGGAAAATCTTTCTTCTAACCTTTTCAGTTTGTTAAAAGTATTAACCAGTGTCTTGAGTGTAAAGTGTACAGCTAACCAGCATCAGCGCAAGAGAGAGTAGTGATGCCATTTGATTGTGACATCATGGTAACTGATGTCACAATGGTCTGCAAAGTATTGTAGCCAATTTCATTGTAGTGGAGATATCACTTAATCTCACCTCAGTGATAACTCCTAGGGAAGCCAGTTTGGGATGATAAATGTGGTAGTCCACAAGAAAATGTTACTTGTCCGTCCTGAACTTTTCAAGCAGTTTATGTTAACTTTGAACCCTGTAATTTGAATATATTTTCTCAGTAGTTTCAACATTAGCACTTGTCTTTTTTGGTATTTTATATTTGTAACTGTTTCTGCTTTATTTCTCCCTTCTATTATGGCAGGGGAGAATGGAATACAAGTGAACCTCTCATCAAGATGCTTAAATGTGCATTTTCTATTGTAAGTGCACCCACAAGAAGAATATCGGTACTTTTGATCCCTCTTAAAATTCAGCAAATGTCTTTTCACCATGATCTAGTTAATAAATATTTGTTATGTTGAAAATTGTGCCTTCCTATTCATTAAAATTGATATTAATATTCTTTTCAATTTGTGAATTGACAGGTTGACTTTGTGAATCATACTATGCATTAAGCATGTTTTTCTCCAGTTTACCCGTGTCAAATACATGTGTCACTGCCTTCATACCATAAACATTTTGTGTAAAAAGAATCTTTTTCCATGTGTGCCCTTAAGGCACTGGGAACTTGTCTTATCTTACTATATTTGAATTTGATGGGTCAATGGTGTTTTGATTAATTCCCATGTACCTCGCTACTGTAGTTTTCAACTGTAAAAAATCTACCCTGTCATCATGGCAACAGCCATTTTACTGATATCTGTAATCTCTGCAATTCAAGCTCCTTACAGCAAACAGTGTTTGTCATATAATAGCAGGGCTGGGACGGGTAACTCGGGTACTCGAGTCGGATGGGTCCTGAGCAGGACCCGGGTACCCACAGGACTACCCGGACCCATGGTTAGTCCCATGATTATGTTGTTTAATGACAAAAACTCACTATAGCTCAATGGTTACACTACAAGTCGCTAATGTTCGCATTTCTTTTTGTACAATGCTCACATTCATCAAAAGAATTATCAAAAGAATAGTGTAATATACTGACCGAAACTTTTTTGCGAGAGCTGTGACGTTTCACAGACTTGGGTTAGAGTAGCTTCCCTTTGATAAAGGGCAGTTAGTCTAGCAGACAGACCGATGGATTGCCATGAAATGTTGTTTTGCATATATGTAGTTACGCCATTCTATAAGAAACAGGTTTCAGTTGGAACTATATCGGCTTCTGTCGCTGTCCGACTGACACATCACTTACCTTCTGACGTAATATAGATCTATATTAATGGCACATTCCAGGAAGACTTGCATTGTTTAGGTAATGTTTGTGAGAGATAGGAAGAGATTTTCGAGCCCAGAATTGAAAAATGACGTATGATAAAGAGGTTATTGCGCTTGTGTCTATGGGAATTAGCTCACCATGCCTCGATAAATACAATATTTATTCCTAATACAGGATATTTACCATCCCCAAACACACTCGCCTGATAACCTCTACATATTAACATAAGGACATAACTATAGTGAACATGGACCAGAGACAGAGCAGCTTGCTGTGGGAAGGCGGGAGCAAGGTCTGGAGGTTCCTGTGCTCGACCAATATCTAAACAAGTTAGACTGTGTATGTTAAACCATAGGGAGGAGTCAGTTGTTTATCATGTACTGAGATGACTCAGTTAAAGATTGCCATTTTGTTTATGATGATATCATTCGGTTTTCACCCTAATCTGTGTAATTGAATGCCACTCAGCATGCTCAGTGTCCGACCCTGTGGCAAGGGATGCATGATCTCTTTTTGTTTCAGCTGACTCGCCTAAGGTGGTTGGTCAACACCCCAGGTGGATTAACTACTTATGTAACTGTGGACAGTCCTCCTTTAGGAGAATGTTCTGTAGTTGGATTAAGAATTAAGGTGACAGGCCAGTTAAGATGGATAACACTGAGACACTAATTAACTTACTTACTTACTTACTTTGGAGATTTAACGTGCGCTTTCCGACTGATGCGTATTTCGCACACGGGCCCGGCCAGGCCATTTAATGTGTTTCCGAAAGGGGCGAAGGTGGTCTGTGCAACCCAAGAGGGGGGTTTTAGGGGTTGCTTATATAGAATTTGGGAATTTTGAGATTTGGAATAGATGCCGATGGGATTGGGGAGGAGAACTAAGGGAGCTGGGTAATTAAGAGTTTGCTTGGCATTTATATGGAGCAGTCAGAATAGAGACACCCAGCCACTGTGTTGTGAACTTGTTTTCTGAACCTACTACTTTTGTCAGTCTAATCAAGATACTCCCTTGCCACAGCCAAATGTTTCAGTCTGAACTCATTTGACAGAGGCATCGGTAAGTTAACACCTGTATTAATTTGATAACAGATTCACAAACCCTAAGTTTCAATACATTTCAAAGAAAACAAATTCAACCTCCATTTATTACTCAAGATAATGTTGTCCAAACTATCATTATGTTACTTGTAAATCAGTAGCACAAATATGAATGAAAAATCAAAATGTGTAAATGACAAGATGAATAAGGAATGAAAAGCATAAAGATTTCAGATGTTATTAAATTTGTGTATTATATTGTCCTCCCCTTCTCTGCACCTAAACAGCAATGAATGTAATCAAAACATGCAGAAACAAAAACATACATGGCCTCAAGTGCAGGCAATCTGCATGCTGAGGATGATTTTATGGCTGCTTGTTGCCAGTTATGTTTTTCCTGAGTCAAAGGCTTTTGCAGCGGTTGAAATTTAAATTATTTTGATATATTGTTTGAGAGCTTTCGACAATGGACGATGCTATCCGTAAACCCATTTTGTTTTGTATGATGCCTGACTTATGTTCTCAGATTTCGTTGCTACTTACCATGTTCCCAACACCATAAAGCAACATGTTTTCATAAAGCATGTACAAGATAAATTAATACATTCCAAGTCGGAGGTATTTTGATGGTGCGATGTCAGACACATCTTTTGCTGTGAGAGATGTTATTGACGTAAACTCAACTCTTTCTCTACATATCGTCATGCACACACTTTAGAATGTGGGCATTCAGATGTAAATGTTGTATCATAAACAACATGAACAAGTTATCCACAACACATCAATACAAGATGTACAATAGTGTCACATCATTTACATGACAGTCAAATAATATATGTTGATTCAACCCTACAAAGTGTCAGGTGTAAAATGCATACCTTTGAACCTAATATCCAGATGTAAATAATGTATCAAAATGAGTTATCCACCTTCGTACTAGATCTACACCTTCAATAAATCCATGGTCTCTTTCCTCTTGTATGGAATCAAGTGATGTATATACGTATATATGTCAATATGGACATATCCCACCTCACTTCAAACATGCACACCATACAGTAGGAAATAACACTGAACATTATCTAGCCCCCCACCTGTCACTTCCTCGTTATAACGCTAGCGACCTTATTTCCTTTTCTCAGTATAGAGAAAGTTGTCAGTTTGAGGGACAGCTGTCACCAATGCAATCGTTGAAACACCGTCGGAAGCGAGGGGCCTCTTCTACAATACAGATGGAGGAACGAAGCCTCATTGATGAAGGTTTGTCTATTTCACTTTGACATCAGCTAATGCTGTGTTTGTTTGAATCTCCCCAGCCATGTGTCCTGCCTCACAGAGACATATGTCCACACCCACCATGTGCTTCAGTGCAGGACCAACATGGCCATGTGTTGATAAGTTTTCTACTCTGAAGCTACTAAGTTTTGTTATCACTGTCAATATATCCCTATAACTGCGTGTTTGACTTGACAAGGTAATCAATATAAATCTAACACATGTGTCAACATTGCATTTGTTTATGTTGTGTTAGGGTTTTACAGGTTATCCTATACACAAATGTGGTATATCAGTCAATATGTTATGTCCATTCCACTATATTAACAGTTTCTGTATAATTACATTTAGTGTATTTGGTACAGACCATTTGCATCATTGTTTTACTTGTATACCACACCATAGAAATTGAAATTAGTACTGAATGGCTAACCTGAGCCAGTTGGCACATGTCTCTCATTACGAATCATTGTCCATTGTATAATTAAAGACAGACAGACAATAGTTTATTAACGTCTCACTCCTGTACATACATAAAACAGCTTTATACAACTTGACATAGATAAAATGTACAGAACCATTCAGTAGAATTATGAGAGACGAATTATCACAGAATTTATACATAAATGATATAAAGATATATAGTAATAAGTTATCCATATAAAAGATGTTTTCTACGATTAAGAATTAAAAAGCAGACTTTGGCAAGTATAAAACACACACTGGAGTCACTGAAAATAAAACAAAGTTTGTCGACATCAGGCATATCTAAAACATTATAAGATTTAGCAATACATTCATTAAAAAGAGTTGCCCTGATATCATCATATAATGCGCAGTGAAACAAAACATGGACCTCGTCTTCTACGCTGTCATTACAGTGAAAACATCTTCTATTATTGACAGGTACACCTTCGTATCGACCGGTTTCCACTCGAATAGGAGCCACACCACATCTAAACTTGGCTAGTGCCGATCTATAGTTTCTGGGCATCTTATTTGAAACATAGTATAATTAAATGTACTGACGGACCTTATCTCCCAGCATGATAAAACCACTAAAGAATGCATCCTGTAAGTAGCAATGCCAAGGACAACTTGGTTAATAAAGGGGAGCAATTGATGTGTGAAATATGTCCTTGTCTTGTAAATAAAATGGAGATGAATTTGTGCCTGTGTTACTTATTGCCTGCATGTTTTATTGATCTTACATTTAAGCACTGTATACTTAATATCAAGGATCCTTGCAGGCAATATGAGGGTCCTCCTGTGAGGTAATGAAATGGTGTTGTGTCTTCATTAAATCATTCCTTTAGAGCCTGGAATGAATCAGGGATTATGTAGACAGTTATGATTGATGGATAAAATAACAGACACCCATAATTGCTCTTTATAAGCTGTAGGGACAATGAATATTAAGTATTGTGCGTCCCTTCTGACGCAGTATATTTTTTTTCTGCAACCATTCTATCATTGTGTGTACTGGACACACATTTGTGTGTCATGTGAAACTAAAAGCCTGCTGCTCTCAAGCACTATAATATATTGTCTGTAACCATGACAACAGGTTCAAAGCTAACCAATCACAGCTATGGTATATTGTCAATAACAGGTTCTGAATTAACCAATCAGCTGTGGTATTGTCTGTAACAGGTTCACCAATTACAGATATAGTATTGTGTATAACAATGCCATAGATAACCAATCGCAGATGTATATTGTAATAACAATGTAATAATTAACCAGTCATGCTAATTACAGCTGTGGTATTGTCTATGTGAACATCATAGTTAACCATTCGAAGATGTATATTGTAATAACAACATAATAATTAACTAATCCTGCTAATTACAGCTGTGGTATTGTCTGTGTGAACATCATAGTTAACCAATCACTGATGTATATTGTAATAACAATGTAATAATTAACTAATCCTGCTAATTACATCTGTTGCATTATCTATGTGAATACCATAGTTATAACCATTCGAAGATGTATATTGTAAAAACAACATAATAATTAACTAATCCTGCTAATTACATCTGTTGCATTGTCTATGTGAATACCATAGTTAACCATTCGAAGATGTATATTGTAATAACAACATAATAATTAACTAATCCAGGTCATTACATTTGTGGCATTGTCTATGTGAACACCATAGTTAACCAATCGCAGATGTATATTGTAATAACAACATAATAATTAACTAATCCTGCAAATTACAGCTGTGGTATTGTCTACGTGAACACCATAGTTAACCAATCGCAGATGTATATTGTAATGACAACATAATAATTAACTAATCCTGCTAATTACAGCTGTGGTATTGTCTACGTGAACACCATAGTTAACCAATCGCAGATGTATATTGTAATAACAACGTAATAATTAACTAATCCTGCAAATTACAGCTGTGGTATTGTCTACGTGAACACCATAGTTAACCAATCGCAGATGTATATTGTAATAACAACGTAATAATTAACTAATCCTGCTAATTACAGCTGTGGTATTGTCTATGTGAATACCATAGTTAACCATTCGAAGATGTATATTGTAATAACAACGTAATAATTAACTAATCCTGCTAATTACAGCTGTGGTATTGTCTATGTGAATACCATAGTTAACCATTTGAAGATGTATATTGTAATAACAACGTAATAATTAACTAATCCTGCTAATTACAGCTGTGGTATTGTCTATGTGAATACCATAGTTAACCAATCACAGATGTATATTGTAATAACAACGTAATAATTAACTAATCCTGCTAATTACAGCTGTGGTATTGTCTATGTGAACATCATAGTTAACCAATCGCAGATGTATATTGTAATAACAATGTATTAATTAACTAATCCTGCTAATTACAGCTGTGGTATTGTCTATGTGAACATCATAGTTAACCAATCGCAGATGTATATTGTAATAACAACATAATAATTAACTAAACCTGCTAATTACATAAAAATGGCAAATGTCTACTGGTTACGATACCTTAACTACTAGGCAGTTTGGCAAGGAGTACAGGACTAGTGCCAGTTTCTAATGCCGCTAGTAGGTACACTTTTCACTTACCATTTATTTATGGTGTCAGAATTTGATGAGACATCCAGAAATGAGGTAGACAGTCTGCAAGTTTAACAGCTAGTCTGAAGCCCGAGTCTAGTAACTTTATTTTCCACCTAGTTATATCTTAGGAGCAGGCCATATGTAAAGAGTGAATCTACTGAAAGTGACAGTTCAGGACAAGTTGGGGCAAGTAGACTGGTCCACTGTGTCCCTTATTATTTCTGCCTGCCTCATTGGTCTAGTAGATAGGGCATGTGCCCGGAGAGCGGTTCGATCCCTGGCCATAGCGAATGAAGTTCAGAGATGGTACTTGTTGTTACCCTGCCTGGTACTCAGCATTGGGATGAAACAAGGACTGTCTGGCTCGGAGATTGTATGCTGTGTCTGAGTGGGCTGGTTATCCATGTTAAACTGCACCATGGTAGCACAGTGACCCCACTTTCACCTTGACCATGTTGACCTCTCAGTACTTCTGAGTCAGTATTGATGTTGATGCTGTCAGTCACTGTTTTGTCTGGTCCAGACTTGTATATTTACAGACCATAGTGATATAGCTGGAATGTTTCAGGCACAGCATTCACTCCTTAACTCACTCATCTACTATTTTGACAATTGTTTGATTTCACAATACATAAGTGTTCGAATTTTGGGCATTGAATGTCAAAGGGTACTTGTCTTAGCCCTAATGTTAAAAGCATGTGATTCACAGAGTCCCTAGATTAAAATACTATAGCAGCAAACCTGTCCCCAGGAACCCCTTTGATTTGGAACACCATATGTGATCCTAAGTTGTTTATTTCCATGAATTATGTTTAACAGTTTCATTGATTTACCTGTGTCCATACAAGTAGGCAGTATAATATCAGTGTATCCCGGATTACCAGATGTTGCTATTCATTATGACGTAGAGGACTGATGGGATCTGGGATATATACAGAGGTGATTTAAACACCTACTGACAAACTGTGTGTGTGTGTGAGCAGGGGGTGGTTGTGCTGGGAAACTTATCTGGATCCAAACGTAAGTTGATAGATTGTGGCAACATTTCCAGACATTGAGGCACTGCCTGGGCTCACTAATCTTGTGACGCGTCTGTGGTCTAGTAGGTAGAGTGTCAATCTAGAGGGTGGAAGGTCAGTGGTTCGATTCCCTGGCTGCATCTTTCTAAAAGACTTTAAAAGGTGGTACGCAGAGAAACTTAACACTAGCACACTAGCCCTGACAAGTTTTGTTAATGTTAAACATATCCTACATATGTCCTTAGGGCTAGGAGTAGAATTGCAAACATTTTTGGTATTGCCATATGTTATCACTATTCGGGTTAGTAGATGTTCTTGGTTAATTCCATCACTGGTACTTGTTGTTACCCAGCCTGGCGCTCGACATTAAGAGGATAAAACAAAAAATGGTCAACTCGGAGTCAGTATACTGTGTCTCAGAGTGGGGTATCCATGTTAAACTATGCCATGGCATCTCAGTTGGCTAGCACTATAAAACCTGCATGAGTCCGGACCAGTATAAGCAACCACTCACACATGCATGTGCATCCCCATCCCTATATAAGTGCAATAGCCTTGAATGCACATTAAACCTTATTTCACCTCACCTCACCTCATCTTGCAAATTGTGGTGCTGAAATTGTCTGGTTAGCTTTCATCTGGTTGGTATTTGGAGATACTGTTTTGGAATCTGGTGAAGTGTTTGTGCAGAGTGCAGTGAATGGGCAATCTTATTCAATTTGTCTTGCCTTCATTAACTCACTTGGTGCGTTGACCAAGCTAGTCCAGCCTCAAATAGATGGTGCATGTGCATCCGGTTTGCTTTGACTATGATCAGATGATTACAATAGATATAACTCATTCCTTAAACATTCATGTTTCCATATTCTGAAATGATGATCACTTTTCAATTTGCTACACAAATAAATGAATAACGATATTCATTTAAGCTCACTGAAAGTACCCTGTTGGGATTGAGGGTTAGAATAGGTCTGCAGCAACCTGTGCTTGTTGTAAGAGACAACTAAATCAGTTGGGTGGTCCAGCTGGAGGATGATCCGGTTGATGGTGTGGCATTGTAACCTGACACCTTGCCATAATATACCGTATTCAACGTAATAAGCGCCCATGGCGATATTTGCTAATATATTGGCTATTGAAAATCACAATTAGCACCCCTTCCAATTGATTAATGTACACAAGACTTATTTATTTGTGTATAATACGCACTCGTGTGTTATATGCATCCTTAATTATGGGCAATTAACTTCTGGAAAAATAAATCTGTCGTGTATAATACGCACAGACTTTTCTTTTGTATTCAGGCTGTCAGCATAAACCACAAAATTTACGATCTTTCAACTCTGTTTTTTTTTACCAAATTTTTATTCTTATAAGAGCCCTCTATTTCTAATGTTGAGAGCATCCTGGGCGCGTATTACGTAAAATACGGTAGCTGTTATTTAGCTATACATCATTATTTAGAGTTTTGAAAATGTTGTGCTATGTACATGATGTAATGCCACTGTAAACTGAAAAGTTCATTTGATCATTTTGACTGGACGGTATATACATGATGGAAGCATTTTAGAAATTGATGGAATCACTCCATGTTGTCTTGTATGAACATATATATACTTAATTTGGTTATTTTATGATTTTGTAGATGTTCTAGGGGACAACAGATGTGTCTGTAGATGTTCTAGGGGACAACATATGTGTCTATAAATGTTCTAGGGAACAACAGATGTGTCTGTAGATGTTCTAGGGGACAACAGGTACATCTGTAGATGTTCTAGGGAACAACAGATGTGTCTGTAGATGTTCTAGGGGACAACAGATGTGTCTGTAGACATTCTAGGAGACAACAGATGAGTCTGTAGATGTTCTAGGGGACAACAGATGTGTCTGTAGATGTTCTAGGGGACAACAGGTACATCTGTAGATGTTCTAGGGGACAACATGTACATCTGTAGATGTTCTAGGGGACAACAGGTACATCTGTAGATGTTCTAGGGGACAACAGGTACATCTGTAGATGTTCTAGGGGACAACAGGTACACCTGTAGATGTTCTAGGGGAACAACAGATGTGTCTGTAGATGTTCTAGGGGACAACAGATGTGTCTGTAGACATTCTAGGAGACAACAGATGTGTCTGTAGATGTTCTAGGGGACAACAGATGTGTCTGTAGACATTCTGGGGGATAACAGATGTCCGAAAGATATGTCTTTAGATGTTCTAGGAGACAACAGATGTGTCTATAGATGTTCTTGGGGACAACAGATGTGTCTGTAGATGTTCTAGGGGACAACAGATGTGTCTGTAGACATTCTGGGGGATAACAGATGTCTGTTGATGTTCTACGGGACAACAGGTACATCTGTTGAAGTGCAAGGGGACAACAGATGTGTCTGTAGATGTTCTTGGGGACAACAGATGAGTCTGTAGACATTCTGGTGGACAACAGATGTGTCTGTAGACATTCTGAGGGAAAACAGATGTGTCCATAGATGTTCTAGGGGACAACAGATGTGTCCGTAGATGTTCTAGGGGACAACAGATGTGTCTGTAGACATTCTAGGAGACAACAGATGAGTTTGTAGATGTTCTAGGGGACCACATCTGTGTCTATAGATGTTCAAGGGGACAACAGATGTGTCTGTAGACATTCTTGGGTGACAACAGATGTCCGAAAGATATGTCTGTAGATGTTCTAGGGGACAACAGATGTGTCTGTAGAAGTTCAAGGGGACAACAGATGTGTCTGTAGACATTCTTTGGTGACAACAGATGTCTGAAAGATATGTCTGTAGACATTCTAGGAGACAACACATGTGTCTGTAGATGTTCTAGGGGACAACAGGTACATCTGTAGATGTTCTAGGAGACACAGATGTCCGTAGATGTTCTAGGGGACAACAGATGTGTCTGTAGACATTCAAGGGGAGAACAGATGTGTTTGTAGACATTCTGGAAGACAACATATGTGTCTGTAGACATTCAAGGGGACAACATATATCTGTAGATGTTCTAGGGGACAACAGATGTGTCTGTAAACATTCTGGAGGACAACAGATGTGTCTATAGACATTCTGGGGGACAACAGATGTGTCTATAGACATTCTGGGGGACAACAGATGTCCGTAGACATTCTGGGGGACAACAGATGTGTCTGTAGACATTCTGGGGACAACAGATGTGTCTGTAGATGTTCTAGGGGACAACAGATGTGTTTGTAGATATTCTGGGGGACAACAGATGTGTCTGTAGACATTCTGGGTGACAACAGATGTGTCTGTAGATGTTCTAACGGACAACAGATGTGTCTGTACTCTGTAGACATTCTGGAGGACAACAGATGTGTCTGTAGACATTCTGGGGGACAACAGATGTCCGTAGATGTTCTAGGGGACAACAGATGTGTCTGTAGACATTCTGGGGGACAACAGATGCATCTGTAGCTGTTCTTGGGGACAACAGATAATAATTTGTAATTTGTATTCTTCTCCAGGGGACACCATCCTCAACAAGAAGGCAGTTTATGAGCCTTCTGGTTCACAACGCTGTCGCCAGCTTGTTTGTAGTAGAAGCTGGGCTGTCACTATCCTCATCGTCATGGGCCTCTTCCTCATCCTCATCGCCATCATTGCCTCCTTCGCCAGGCCACAGACACTTCCGTGCACACCCCTCAACACTGTCACAGAGGCAGCCACAACGCCGGCCCCTAAAGCACAAACATACATTGCAACAAATGGAAAGGATTTTCCATGGAAAGATATTCGGCTTCCAGAAAATTTAATTCCAGAATCCTATGACATTCTAATTCATCCAAATATATCCCAGTCATATTTCAAGGGCAGAGTTATCATGAAGGTTCGAGTGATCTCTCAAACAGACTTTGTAGTGTTTCATATCAAGGACTTAAATGTCACCCACTTTGATGTGAAATCTCTAAAAGATGGTGAGCCCATACATACCACAGAGTATCTAGAATACAAGGAGGGGCAGCAGTTTTACATCAAGCTGGGTCGGAGTCTGGAGGTGGATGAACAAGTGGAAGTGACAGTCAAGTTTGAGGCCTTGCTCGTCAATAAGCTGGTCGGCTTTTATAAAAGTTCTTATAAGTTGTCGACAGGTGAAGAAAGGTTCGTATTATTTTAGTCTTAATTTTGTTTTTATATTTGAAATGAATAAGGTACTGTTAAGTTTTAAAACTTTTATTCAGTTTTGCAGAGATTTAAGTAATTCCAGCTTAGAGTAGGTCCTCTGACCTATGCTTATCGTCAGGCGTGACTTAATGAATCAGGTGTTCTGAATCAATGACTTAATCCATTGCCAGGCTCTCCTATCTATTTGAGTAAAAAGTGTTTTTTTTACAGTGAACAGGTGAAGGTGTATTGGTAGCAAAGCTCCCGCATCGGAACAAATGCAAATGAAAAGAAAAGAAAACGGATTTGACAGCATTCGGTATCTTAATATGTGCATAGCCGCTATGGGAAACTGTCAAATGCAGTGGAATCTGTTAAAATAAATAAATATTGTTGTTAAGTCCCATTCAGCCACAGACGAATTGCCTACTGTTGACATTGACTGACAGAAGTGTTGGTTAGGTAATTATTAGGTTACATTCTAGATGAAATAATGGATGGAGTCATTTATCCAGCTCTATCACTGATCATCCTTTCTTCGTTTTGTGAAGGCATATTGCAACGACCCACTTTGAGCCAACAGATGCTCGAGGAGCTTTCCCATGCTTTGACGAGCCTCAACTGAAGGCCAACTTCACGCTGAGCATCGTGCGAGACAAACAGCACATATCTCTGTTTAACATGCCCCTGAAGAAGACTGAGGTGTATGACAACACAGGGCTGCTGCTAGACAACTACGACACCAGTGTCAAGATGAGCACCTACCTCGTGGCCTTTGTTGTGTGCGACTTTGCTAACATCTCTAAAACTACTTCTGATGGAGTGAAGGTATGTGGTGTTGATCTGTGTTATACAATGTTGGGTCCAGGGTTAGATTAGGTGCCAGGGACCGATTTCACTATAGTCCAAGCTGCACCAGTGCAGGTAAAACATTGCAAGTGCAGGTAACTTGTGTGAAATAGTCAAATACACAGGTCTGAATGCAGCGAACCTGCAGAACTAATTCTTCACAGTTACCGCTTGAACAGTCACTCATGCCGTTACAGTCACAACAAACAGACACTTTGAAACTTCTGTTTAAGGAAGTATACTGGATATCAAGATGCCCTAGAATCTAAAGTTTTGAAAATGCATTATTTTATTGTTTGGGCTGACCATGACTAGATGTCCAAGTGAGCCCCTAGTATGGTGTTGTGGTTTGCTGTTAACTGGCATGCTTGTCGCTGTATAAGTGCAATAATCTTGAACACATCATTAAACCCCATATCACCTCACCTTGTACATTAACAATGCGGACCTTGATTCAGTGCTATCACTGTCTTTAGTATGTGTTAACCTGAGTAACACCATTGTGGCAATAACTAGATAATGTCCTACTTCCTGTAGGTGAGCGTGTATGCCCCAAGTGAGCTGATCAGCCAAGCAGACTTTGCCCTGGATGGAGCAGTATCAGTCCTGGAATACTACAACTCCTTCTTTGGACTCAAATACCCGCTGCCCAAACAAGGTAATAGGCTGGCTCTGTGACAAATGGCCTTCCAGAGAGAATAAGTGTCACACTCTTCATACTTGTTGTAGTACTTAGCATTAGAGCTATACTATTGCTTGATTATTTTGATGGTGAGCTGTCCCGATTGTGTTTGAAAGCTACGTTGAGTAGATCAGGGCAGATAGGTCTTACCTCCATATAATAACTACGGTTGTATGTGCAGTGGAACCTCTCTGTTTCGGTTCATGTTCATCAGAAGTTTTTTACTGGATAATACCGTCATAGCTAAAAGTCAGATCCACCATAAAACTCAGATCCATGGTAGCACTTGCATCCATTGTAAGTATGGCTCAGATATATTGTAGGACTCAGATCCATGGTAGCACTTGCACCCATTGTAAGTATGGCTCAGATATATTGTAGGACTCAGATCCATGGTAGCACTTCCATCCATTATAAGTATGGCTCAGATATATTGTAGGACTCAGATCCATGGTAGCACTTGCATCCATTGTAAGTATGGCTCAGATATATTGTAGGACTCAGATCCATAGTAGCACTTGCATCCATTGTAAGTATGGCTCAGATATATTGTAGGACTCAGATCCATGGTAGCACTTGCATCCATTGTAAGTATGGCTCAGATATATTGTAGGACTCAGATCCATGGTAGCACTTCCATCCATTGTAAGTATGGCTCAGATATATTGTAGGACTCAGATCCATGGTAGCACTTGCATCCATTGTAAGTATGGCTCAGATATATTGTAGGACTCAGATCCATAGTAGCACTTGCATCCATTGTAAGTATGGCTCAGATATATTGTAGGACTCAGATCCATGGTAGCACTTCCATCCATTGTAAGTATGGCTCAGATATATTGTAGGACTCAGATCCATGGTAGCACTTGCATCCATTGTAAGTATGGCTCAGATATATTGTAGGACTCAGATCCATGGGAAAAGTCAGATCCATGGTAGGACTCAGATCCTGGTTTGTCTAGTCCTAGCAATGGCAAAAAACATCCTTCTTTCTTTTTCATGCAAGGTTTTCTTTTTCAGATCTGATAGCCATTCCTGACTTTGCTGCTGGTGCCATGGAAAACTGGGGTCTCATCACATATAGAATGACAGCTATTTTGTATGACCCTAAGGTGTCGTCGCTAGGCAACAAGCAGTGGGTGGCAACAGTTGTTGCTCATGAGCTAGCACATCAGGTGTGGATTTACAAACCAAAATCATTGTGTTAGGTCCTTTGTGTGATTTATGGTCCAAAACAAATCCAGAGTCCTTGTTATTGTGACTGTCTGTGTGTGTGTCTGTTACAGTGAGTGTAGACTATCTCTGTGTGTGTGTTACAGTGAGTGTAGACTATCTCTGTGTGTGTCTGTAACAGTGAGTGTAGGCTGTCTATGTGTGTGTCTGTTACAGTGAGTGTAGGCTGTCTCTGTGTGTGTGTCTGTCTGTTACAGTGAGTGCAGACTCTGTGTGTGTGTGTGTTTGTGTGTGTGTGTGTGTGTGTGTGAGTGAGTGTGTCTGTTACAGTGACTGTAGACTGTGTGTGTGTGTGAGTGAGTGAGTGTCTGTCTGTCTGTCTGTCTGTGCGTGCGAGTGTGTGAGTCTGTTACAGTGAGTGTAGACTATCTCTGTGTGTGTCTGTTACAGTGGTTCGGGAACCTTGTCACCATGGAGTGGTGGGATGACCTATGGCTGAACGAGGGCTTTGCAAGCTATGTTGAGTACATTGGGGCAGATCAGATCAACCCAGACTTCCACATGGTAAGTATAGTATATGTACACTGACAACTCAGGCAATTCTTTTCCGGGCTCCATGTAACTGTATAAAACATCCACTAGTGCAACCTGATCACTATGCAACCTGATGCCACGTTTTATTAATTTCTGCACGCACATGGTGTTTGTTGGTAATATTTCTAGAATTACATTAAACTGCCAAAATAATTAATAAGTATCATTGTGAGTGCAACCTGGTTTAGTCTGAGGCAACTAGGTTTTGATTGTCAACATGAACCTTGTGCAAGATTTATCCGTTCCTTAAATCTAGCCATGCTTTTGTTTATTTTTTGGTTTATGGTTTGAAGTTAAATTTAACCACCTGACTGCTTGATCTCTGATGTGTTAGAAAAATATGAATTGACAATTTTAAAACTTTTCCTATCTCACACTATACATTTCTTCCTTCTTCTTTCGATCATTGTGTGGAACCGTCCTAAAACTATTTATGCCTCTTCACCCCTCTGAGGTGTAAATTAAAGGGCTTGGCCAAGATAACTCACTTGTATAGCATATTAAAGGGAATTACCTATGATCAAGGCAAAATTTTGCTCTTACAACTTCTCCTATAAACAAAATAGGCTTTACAAATGTCTCTATGTTGATACATTCTTTGTTCTAGCACGACCAGTTTGTGACAGAGGACTTCCTGACGGCCATGTACCTCGACAGCATGAGCAACTCCCACCCCATTCACGTCCCCGTCGACAACCCCGATGAGATCAATGAAATTTTTGACAAGATCTCATACAGCAAGGTTAGACAGAGTCAAAGCTGTATATGATGCCAAGGGCATCAATATCTTCAACATTTTACTGTTCACAATGATATGTGAAAAGTGGAGGAAAATCTAGAATGGATGACTTGCTTGTGTGAATAATGAATAACTGATATGAAAGTCATTTTAACAGTCACTTGGAAGTGTTGTAACCATGTTTTACTGCACTTGATGGACAACTTGATAGAAACGATACATCAAAACGCTGATGCACTTTGATACATGACCTTGATGCAATACATGATACAGACTTGTTTGTTTGTTTATTTGTTGTTTAATGCCACACTCAGCAGTATTACAGCTATATGATGGCGGTCTGTAAATAATCGAGTTTGGACCAGACAATCTGCTGATTGACATCATGAGCATCGATCCATGCTATTGGGATCGATGACATGCATCAACCAAGTCGTATTATGATGTGTGCCGACACAAAATACATATATTTTACTTACATAATGAAGAATGTGAAAGAAATGTGAGCTTGAAAAGCCGTCCGCATTGTACAAAATCAGCTCTTTGGGATCGTTTTGCTTTTCCTGTTATTTTATGTGAGGTGAGGTGAGGTGAAAGGGGGTTTCACCTCACGTTCAAAATTATTGCACTTACGTAGCACATATTGTAACATTGCCTTCCATATCGTTGCACCCCTACAACCGGATACTGAGAAAGCTACAAGGTAATATAGCCAAGTTGTGCACTTCTGTATGTACAGGGTGGGTCGGTGCTGCGGATGTTGCGGAGCATCCTGGGACAGAGCAAGTTCAAGGCCGGTCTCACTCACTACCTGACCATCCACAAATACAGCAACGCTCGCACCGACGACCTGTGGATGGCTCTCCAGGACGTGAGTCACATGACTTTATCAGTTGCAAGATGGGCCATACTAGGGATCCTGTGTCTTTTAAAGCAAAGTGTTATCAAAGTTTCTTCATAAAAAATTACACTGGCTTTGATTAGCACAATGATTATTGTAACTCTTTTTGAATGTAGACTTACAATAGTCCTGGTGCGGCAGTATAAAGGTAACAATATTTTTCAGGGCATTATCAGTTGCAGAGGCTCAAGGTCTTCCATTAACTGCCCAACAAAGGAGGGCTTCTGCAAATGGTAGTGCCATGAAAAATACATTACCATTATTATAGCTAATCCCAAAATGAAGAAAACAAGAAACAGCAGCGTAAGTTTAGTGGCTGTAATAAACACCTCCCAACAGAGGTCATTGATTTACAAATAGCAACGTCACAGAACAGAATAGAGAATGACGTCACAAACAAGAAACGTGACGCCACTGATGTCACGTAACAGTGGAATAGATAGCAGCCTGTCATTAGGGAAATGCGGGTTGCACTCAAGTTACAGTGGCCCACAGATTTCTGATAACGTGTGGGCATTTTTATGATAATTCTATCCATTTAAGCTGTAATGTACAATTATAGACTTCATGTGAGGTCTATACCTGATAAAAGCAATGTTGACTGAGGACAAAGTCATAAACCTTGCTGTCATTTGTGGTCCAGTAATGGACTCAGACATATTATACCTCTTCTCCTTCTTCCTTGTCAAATTCTCCTTCTTGCCTCTTCATCAAATGAATGACCCTGATCCCACCTGATGAAGCTGCAAAAAGTAGCCCTGATCGTCTTGTAGATGTCATAAAGAAGTTCTTCACTGAGAATTCTATGGCCTAATGCCCAGGTTGATGGTGTATGTTGCCCAACCTAGCCTTGTAAGACTTGTTTGTTGTTCAGGCCAACCCCAACCTGCACGTGGACATCAAGGCTGTGATGGACACCTGGACCAAGCAGATGGGATACCCTGTGGTGACGGTGAAACAAACAGGGACACTTCTCTCCCTCACGCAGGCCCGCTTCCTCCTCAACGCAGCTCACACCAACGATGTTGTCCCCAGCTCACCATTCAAGTGAGTCCATGATGCCTCCACACTTGTTATCATATACCAGTAATGGCTAGTGTTATCAAGAAGATAAACCAATCCAAAAAAACAATTCATGAACCGATAAATAGAGAATCTCACCCTCATGTCTTTTGATATCAAATATATCAACACGAGTTGATAAAAGTGGAAAAATTCCGAGGCTTATTTATCATCCAACATCAGTCTTCCAACTTTTTCAATTTGTAGACAGTAATTAGCAGTGCTTTCAATGTAAAAAGTACTGCTAACAGCTTCAGTAGCAGCGCCATTAGTGATGTCATTTGATTGTGACGTCATGGTAACCAGTGACGTCACAATGGTCTGCAAAGCATTGTGATGTAATTTCTAAGGGTGAAACGATACACCAATATTCCGATGCATCACGATACTTGACCCACGATACGAAATACAATAAACGTGGACCCATTTATCGATACGCCCGATACGAAATGCAAATCCCAAGTACAGCGTTTCCTCGCATTTGTGCCTTTCAATAAACCGCTAACTTGGTTATAGCACGCGCTAAGGCATGGCTCCCAAAAACGTACTTACATTTTTAATAAGCTCAGGTTTTACACCGACAGTCAGCAAATCCGAACTGAAGTACGCAATTATCTTGTTATTAAAACGTGTTCATTGTATATCTGGACTTGTGTTTGCAATATTTTTTATTAATCTTATTCAAAATTTCCTTTAATATTGTTTTCATTAAGTTATGTGAAATCGTGTGGGAAGAGATACAGCAACCACGGTCAGATTACCGCTTTTGACGCATTGAAGCGAACTTAAGTTGCTAGAGAATGGATACATATATTAAAAATGCCATACTTTGACTCGTTAAAAGTCATATTTGTGGCAATTTGGCTAATATATGTCAACATAACGTTTTCGCAATCAAAATACATGTAGCAGGGGAAGTCCCTAGGGTGACTGGTCAAATTGTTCCATACGTAAAAATATCCTGCAACAGCAATCACCAGTACCAAAATGCTACACTTGTGGTTCTTATAATTTTAAATATATATATATACTAAAAGCTGCAACTAAGGTAACACGATATTGGAATATATTATTCCTGATAAAACAATAATTTCAGATACAATTTCTTCGACCATTGCATCAAAATTCTTTGAAGTTGTACATAAATTATTTTCTGGTGTTTGAACTTTGAATTGTGTTGAAGGAAAGTTAGAGAAAGTTGCACTTTGAAGCTGAACACCTTCAGTAGTCTTGTTATTATAAAATAATTTTGACTGTTCCAAAATCCTAAAAGGTTCAATCTTGACATGCTTTAAGTCTTGTTTTTTTATCATTGCGTATCGAGATACGTATCGTATCTTGACCAGAATATCGAGATGCGTATCGTATCGTGACCTTCCTGTATCGTTGCAGCCCTAGTAATTTCATTGCAGCGATATCTTCAGTGTAGATATCGCTTGATCTAATCCAAGCGATATCTCCTGCCAGTTTTGGATGATAAATATGCATTTGTGGATGCCTAGCAGGAACTATTTTCAAGCTGAACACATTGATGCAATGCCTTTTTTCTTGATGACTTATTGACTAATGTTCCTTTAGTTTCCCAGTGAGTCACCATGTTCCTGTAACTAAACAAGTCATTGGGTACTACATGATAAATAAAATTGGGTGGTTCACCAAGACATTGTATTCATATGCTACTTTAATGAGTGAAATTACATAATAAACACCCATGATTTTCAGAATGATATTATTATGAATTCATTACTCTTGTGTGTTTCCATATCGTAAATATCATTAGTTAGGAATAAAAATTATAAAATGCTTGCACAATACAAGTTTTGATACAATGATTATATTATATCCTTCAAGCAAAGACAAGAGAAATATAAGTTTAGTGTCTGTTTACTCAGTATTTAAAAAAGAGCATGAAAGTCAAGGAGACCCTGTCATAAATCAAGTGTTGAATATCATATATATACATAGTTATAGAGTTTGTATAAGTTGGGTAGATATAGCATATTATCATTTGATTACCACTAAAAGTAATAATGGCCTGATGGATTGTGTTCACATGGTTGACTGACTGTCTGGCCTCACTGCAGGTACAAGTGGTACATCCCCCTCACCCTCCTCACCAGCGCGGACAACGAGACCCACCAGCTCACCTGGATGAACATGACCTCAGGTAAGTCAATTGTGTCTTTGTTTGCCAGACAACCAGGCCGTGACACAAGCTCAACCCACTTACAGGTAGCCGAGACTATTGGGATTTCCTTGTCTCAGGAGCAATCTGGAGAAATGACTGTGAACATGGTTCTCCGTAATTATGTGGATGTTGCTTCCCTCTCTGACAATCCTGACAACAAGAGACTGCCCCTGGTGGAATCCAGGTTAGAACTGATCCCAACAACCTTTGCGGGTCATAAGAGGCAACCAAATGGATTGGATGTTGAAACTTGGTGCTTTATGCACAATATCAATCACTTGTTTGTCTGGCCTAGACTAAGCTGGATTATTGCAGGGCGAAGTGTTAACAATAAATAACAATTACAAAAGGGACATCATTTCTGTGTCACAATACAGCTCTTGATGATTGTCTCTGTGTCATGGTGACAAGAACAGAACATGATTTGGCTGTTCAATCATTAGATTATTTAGAGGAAATACTTAAACCTGCCTATATTTCATCTACTATGGTACACTTGCAGCTGAGACAACGGTGCCCCCAAATATCAAGTGGATCAAGGCCAACTCGGGCATGAACGGCTTCTACCGTGTCAACTACGACACCGCCAACTGGAAAAACCTCATCAGGCAACTGAAGGATAATCACAAGGTAAGTGTCCACCTCACTGGGCACAGTCTCTACCAGACCTTCTGAAGGAGGCTCCACACAACAAGCTAAACTTTGACGATGTTGATGTAGTGGCCATAAAGTTTCCATGACCTGTGATGGAATTTGAACCACAGGCCTTCTGATCCATGGTCAGTCAGACAAACGTAAGTTTGTGTGTGTGAACATTGCGAAAACAGATGGCAAACTACTTTATGCAGAAATAATATTGGTCTCTATTTTGACGTGGGATTGGTTGACTCAATGTCAGATGATGGGACAGTGTTTTGGAAACCATGATATTTCCAAACAGTATGTCATCATGCAGGGTCACTCATTCTCTTGCCAGGGGCAAGGGTGGCCCAGTCATCAATGGCGCCACAATACGCTGTGCAGAGTTGCATCCCTTGGGTGCGCCAGAAACCTATGATCGTGGTTTTGAACCCTGGTTGCACCTATTTTATGTTTCTAGGTTTGTCAGCACCATACCCGTGCTCGTAGGTTTCACCGAAGTGGTAAACGTCTGAGACCTGTATCACTTGGGACTTTCTTCCCACATTAAGCTGACACGTCATGATATAACTGGAATACTGTTCAAAGCGGCGTTAAACTCAACTCACTCACTCATTCTCTTGCCAGAGCTTTGGGGTAGCCTAGTGGTTCAAGCAATTGTTTGTTACACTGTAGACCTGGGTTCGATATCCCACATTGGTACAATGTGTGAAGCCTATTTCTGGTGTCTGCTGGAATATTGCTCGAAGATGTGTAAAACTCATTCAGTCCCTTACTCCCTCCTTCTGTTGCCGACCCGTGAAGATTCCGGGCTAGAATAGGTCTTCAGCAACCCATGCTTGCCGTAAAAGGCGACTATGCTTGTCGTAAAGGCGACTAAAGGGATCGGGTGGTCAGGCTCGTTGACTTGGTTGATACATCTCATCGATCCCAATTGCGTGGACCGATGCTCATGATATCAATCACTGGATTGTCTGGTCCAGATTGATTATTTACAGACCGCCGTCATATAGCTGGAATATTGCTGAGTGCGGCGTTAAACAACAAACCAACCAACCAAATCCTTCTGTTGCCAGGTCTTCTCAGCGGCCGACAGAGCTGGCCTGATTGATGATGCCTTCAACCTGGCAAGGTAGGGCTTTATCATACATGTTTGTCAGTCCAGTGAGTGAAATAGTCTCAAAATATTGCTGGCCAGGTGAGCTAACTAGCCTTTAGGGTTAGTAGCCAGTTTCAAATGTCACTAGTTTATTTTTCCAGAAATTTGATTCTGTGAAGGTATCAATAAAGTAAACCCACACTGGGGGGAACACTGAGCTTGCAACCTTGATTTGTAACAGATATTAATTTGATTTTTCATTTTTTTTATGGTTGTATTGATCTACAGAAATAGGAGAACTTCTATTATTTTGATCATGAGGTGTGCATAAAAAATCATGAGTCACTCGGGCCAGAATCTTTAGCCAGTCTGAAATTTTGCTAGCAGGCCGGCAGCTATTTTAAACACTTTGTCCAATCCAGACTCAGTTATTTACAGGCTGCCATGATAAGCTGGAATACTGGTGATACCATTCCTTAAATTTATTCCCGAAAAGCTTTTGACACAGATCTTACAATGAGATTAAGATGGGATAGAACGGAAATGTCTGCACATAAAATATAGAGGGACATCTAAATCGTGGAATTAAGGAAGATGACAGACAGTATTCCATGGTGTAAAATATTGTGTTGAGACACATGTTGATTCTGGTACGTACAGAGCGGGGCTGGTCAGCCAGAAGATTGCTCTGGACCTTACGTTGTACCTGGTCAAGGAGGTGGAGTATGTGCCGTGGAAGGCTGCGCTGGACAACCTGGCCTACATCGAAGCCAGGATCATCTACAAGGAAGTGTACACAAAGTTCAAGGTAGGGCACTTCTTGAATATGTTTGTGTGACTGTAAGAAGTGAAGTTAAGAGGGGCACAAAGTACTGAAGTAAAAGTGACCTGCATTAGCAGTGTTTGCCTTACCCCAAGCCAGGTACGTGTATCTACTCATGGTTTGTTAGAATTCTACTTCATAGCCGTCTAATATTGCATTTGCTATGTCAGTATGAACATCGCCACTCTTGAACAAACTGGCTCCTGTTGCTGTAACACTGCTTGGGGCGATGGTAGACGAGGGAAAAGGTTCTAGTGTGTGTAGAAAATGTGTGGATTAGATAATTTTTTTCTGGAAATTATATTGTACATGCTGTTTTTGGTTGCTTTATTTTAAAAAAAGTATAATCAGTTAATATATCATCTGTACAGTTAATGTTTGGTTTCTTGAATTCTTGTTCCTTGATATGCCATGACATCACTGTAAGCATGAGTTCCCCGAGCCTACAAATAAGGTTTCCTGTCTAAATATTCCTTCCAGGCCTACATGCTGAAACTTATCATGAACCGCCTGACGGCACTGCAGTGGACAGACAGTGGATCTCACTTGGAAATGTGAGTATCGGTATATAGGTAGAGAATAGCTACGTAGAATGCTACGAGGCGTTATGGATTATCCTTCCTGTGCCCCCTGGATCTGCAAGTGCAGCGTATTGGTGTTCTGACTCTGTGACTTGGATCATTGTACCATGACAGCATGGATCGTTGCTCATGATGTCAATCGCTGGTTTGTCTGGTCCAGACTCATTTATTTACAGGTCACCAATAAACAAACAAATGAAACATGACATTTCATGTGCTGCACTTGAGTGACTAACGTTCTCATTCACCCACAGGTTCTTGCGAAGTAACATTCTCATCTGGGCTGTCAAACTTGGAAATCAACCATCGATCGACCAGGGCAAGCAACTCTTCCAGCAGTGGGTGCACGACCATGCAAGGTACGCATAGTCTCCATTTTCTGGTATTTAACCTAGCTCAACAACGTTTTGTTGCTCTCAAGGTATCACTGTTCTGGATGCAGCCTTTAACAGAATTTTGAAAATTTCCCTCAAACTAAACAATTTGTGACATATATATATTTTTGTATGTGTCTGTTGGAATATCATTATAGCGAATTGTGTAACTGTTAATAACTTACTGTTTCCAAAATTAATTTATGTGGTTCTTTTAATAAATAGATTGTCTTGAGATTGCATTGTTTGAAAAGATTGGTTCAATACTGCAGTGGTAAAAGACATAACTTCTCCAGTACATTGTCCCGACACTGTTGTGTTCCTCATAATAAGTTGAACTCATATGTTTTCTCCCTTGAAGTATACTTTATTCTTTTCACAAATACATTTACAGAATGAATAACACACTCAATAAACGGAATGAAATTCTGAATAGAAAATATTGAGAGGAGTGGCAGTGAGTTGTGATAGTTTTCAGTGCCAGTGTGGTCAGTTGTCCTTGGCCCAGCGGTGTCGAAATGGCTCCACATTAGTGTCTGATATATTACTGATATGTGATGAATTTAAGATAAAACAGTTGCCTGGTGAACACAGCTCCCTTACTGGTAACTGACTAGACTTAAGAGGATCTTACCACTCACCCTGAGTTGAGCTCACCAGTCAAGAGCAGACAGACTATGGCTTTGAAGTCCAGGACCGTCAGTTTTAATGAGAGCAAAACACATGGAGAGCTCTGAGTGGCATGTGATTGTTCACACATCGATGTCTGCTACTTATGTATGTGTCATCAGATGTGGTCCATCTGTTTCATAATGGATGCCATGGCAGAAGAATTAATCAATTATTCTGAACTTGTGCTTCGGAACTGTGTTTTGAAATATTTGTGATGTTTCTTTATAATCTTACTCGTGTAAACATTATGCATTCAATTTCATCAACATTATCCTACCATTTTGTGTAACCATTCAGTTATACAGGTCAGAAACCTGACCTTACGAAGCTACTGCTTCAGAGTAAAACAGGGGGGCACGGGTGGCCCAGTCGTCTGAGGCGCTGCGATTCACTGTGCAGAGTTGCGTCCCTTGGGCATGCCAGAAACCTATGATTGTGGGTTCGAATCCCGGTTTGCCCAGATTATGTTTCTTGGTTTGTCAGCACCATGCCTGTGCTCGTGGGTTTCACCGAAGTGTAAACGTCCGAGACCTGCATCACTTCGGGCTTTCCTCCCACATTAAGCTGACACGCTGTGTTAAACCCAACTCACTCACTCAGAGTAAAACATTGACAGGCTTAACAACATCGTCAAGGTGAAGAAAAAAGAAAGAAGGTGTTAACGACACTCTTACTAACTCATTTGGTGGTATATGTCCACAAAGTTACAAGACCACTGAAGCAAATTGCCAAATCACAAAATGTACCACTCCTGTGTGTATGCTTGTTGCCTCTCTGTAATCAGGATTTGTCCAACTCTTGGTATTCATCATACAAACCAGCCACGTGATGTGGTGTATGGTTAAATCATATTTTTATTTCGAAAGAAATTGTATTGGTAAACAAGCAAAACATGTAAATGCCTTTCCAGGTAATACCTTAACAACAGCTGGTTATATACAAGGTAGGGCTAAACATAAATATGCTAATAAATGCACATATGAAATGCATGAAGCCAATATACTGTGAAATAAAATGATGCAGTTTTTCATTACTGTGTGTCTGGTGATAGTATCCACACAACTCCACCCAGTCACTGTCACAGTAACAGGCGCCAAGGGAGCATCCAGTAATGAATTTATTTCTGATTTGGCTGTAAGGTCAAACTATTTCAAGTACTGGCGATAAGTTCAGAAGTCATAACAAGACTGACATGGTTCAAATGGAAAGTTTTACATAGATCAGGCATGTGTTATTTCAGTCTAAAGTTCCTTTTTTATCTTTCAAATTTACATGAAGTTTTTCATGTTGAAAATGCATCTTAAGGTTTCCTGTTTGCCTTCCTCAGCAAAGAAGACAAGCATTTTCATATCGTGACCTATGTAGCGTGATACATATCATATCATGACCTATGTAGCGTGATACATATCATATCGTGACCTATGTAGCGTGATACATATCATATCGTGACCTATGTAGCGTGATACATATCATATCGTGACCTATGTAGTGTGATACATATCATATCATGACCTATGTAGCGTGATACATATCATATCTTGACCTATGTAGCGTGATACATATCATATCGTGACCTATGTAGCGTGATACATATCATATCGTGACCTATGTAGCGTGATACATACCATATCGTGACCTATGTAGCGTGATACATATCATATCGTGACCTATGTAGCGTGATACATATCATATCGTGACCTATGTAGCGTGATACATACCATATCGTGACCTATGTAGCGTGATACATATCATATCATGGCCTATGTAGCTTGATACATATCATATCGTGACCTTGCTGTATTGTTTCACCATGCTAAATATGTTTTGGTTGGTCTTTCAGTCATTTGATGTCATTTGTCATGTATCATACTGTATAGCATATTGCAACAATTATCTTTACAGCCCTAACCTACACATTAACACCCTTGTTATAGAACTATGGATGATTTGATTTCTGAACATTGGTGGCCTAGTGATCAAAGTGTTCGCTTATCATGCCAAAAGCCTGGGTTTGATTTCCCCCTTGGTACAATATGTGAAATGTGTTACTGGTGTCCACAACCGTGATGTTGCTTGAATTTGCTTAAAGCAACGTAAAACCTTACTTACTGTGTAAATTAGCACCACCACTTGTGTATGTGAAACTCGCATAACGAGACGTAGCCCTGGGGTTGGTACAGCCTTACCTATTACGTGGCTGTGTTTCAGTATTGGTCCCAACCTAAAGAATGTGATCTACATGACGGGCGTGAAGTACGGCACAGAGGAGGACTGGAGGGAGTGCTGGAAGGTGTACGAGGAGACCAACGTGCCGTCTGAGAAGCAAAAGATGCTGGTGTCCATGTCGTACAGCAGAGACACGAGGCTACTCAACCAGTGAGTTCAACGTCCTGTACTTGCTTTGCCAATTTGGTTTCCAAACACATGGGGTCGGCGGTAAAAAGAATTATTTTAAAATGTTTGCAATATTTTCTTAAGTGATTTCTTTAAAGCAGTGTTGGATAGGTTAAAGCAGAAATGGTGACTTTCTTTGTTTTTTCAGTGGATCGAGTGGTCCGACTCGATGACTCTGTTGATTGCTTGTCATGGTTCCCCAATGGTGTGACCCATAATTATAACCATGAAGATACAGATAAATCAATTCCATGATTATCCATAATTATTTTAAGATAAATAGTAGATATAGATAGCAAACATGTATAAATATGATTTATGAATCATGTCAATATTTCTCTCCATAAAGAAATATTACCAATTTAAATAATATAATATGTAATTCCATATATACAGTTATATTCCCTACTTACCACCGTGTGGCAATGAGCTCCTCTCTAGGTACGCTGTCACGTTGGTTAAGGTCACGTCATTCTATAAAAAGTTGGAATAATACCTTGACAATACTAATAATGGACATATAAAATAAGTTATAAAAAGAACAGATATCCCATACATACGCTCTTATTCCATACCACATTCATACAGTTATAGGTTTAGGAAATGTTTAAATAATAATTTAGTTTAGTAAAGTTTATACTGGTAAATGGTAATACAGTATATAACTAGATAACATATTCTATAGATGTAATACGATACAGTTTAGATTTAAATGAATTAAATTCCACCTACAACCAACTGTTCTGATGGTTGAAATATATACTTTACTTTAACCACCAGCTAAGTTTAATTGTACACTGATGCATTAATCTCTTAAGAAATACAATATGTACAAAACCATATACAGTCATGCCCCGCTTATATGGACTTCAGATATCCGGAAACCTCGGTTCCCGGACGATTTTCATTCAAAATGAAATAATTACTATATAAATTTACCCGTATATACAGAAATTCAGTTTCCGGAACCGGATGGTCATTTTCATACACAAAACACTGAAATGCACACAAAATTGTCTCACTTACCCGGACAATACACTTCCGCTGGTGGTAATCCTTTGATTCGTGAGAAGTCAATTAACCAAGTCACACTGAGTTACGTTTGAGACGAGCTTATTTATTGTACATGTAATCCCATTCGATAAATAAGGCGTCTGTGCAGGTCAGAGGTCAAAGTTGTGACTTCAAACTGTGAGTATGGCCTGTCAACCAGCGAAACGTAAGCGACGTGACTTTTCATATTCTCGTGGGTGGCTCACTCGATTCAAATCCAGACATAGTGTATCATGTAGGAAATTTCAAGGGGAGGCTGCTAGTGCGGACAAGGACGCTGTTGTGAGAGGAAGGGAAAAGTACTGCAAAATTACGAGGAGCAAGACATTTTTAACATTGATGAAACTGGGTTGTTTTTTAAGTTGGGACCATTCAGACGGGCCCCTCCAACCCACTACAGTCACTCACAAGGAAGCTTGTGCTTGTGTAGAGACCTTGATTACATATTACGAGAACACAGGCGATCTGGACAATTTAGAACTATTGTTTAAAATTCAAACCTCAAAATGTGGTAAAGTTCAAACTTCCATGACAGATTTTTTGAGACGTGTATGTCTTGAATAAAGATTGAGTGGATGTATCTGTTTGCTCTGTCATCTGTCATGAGTTGCATAATTGAAGGGAAGTAACTCTTCCAGTAAGAAGCTGGTTTCAGTTATACGGAAATTTGTTTATATGGACGAATTGTGAAATGACGCAAGTGTCCGTATAACGAGGCACGACTGTACAGTATATGAAATACACAAATCAAATAAACTAACCTGGATAATGAAATCCTCAATACACAAACATCAAGTTCCATGAATGTACACACTGTTTAACATCCGCAATCAGCAATGGGCTGATATTAAGGAAAACAATCATTCTTCCTGACCTCCTCAAACATATGTGTAAGACTGCCCACTAGATATGGCTGACAGAAACCTTTAAAACTAAATACACAAAACTAAATAAGCAGACCAGAGAAACTAAAAATGAAAGACAAACGAAACTTGTGCTGTGTGCAAGTGCATTGGTCAGAATGTGGCCTGACCCAGTGAGATGGCTATTACCGGTACATGCAGGGTGCAGGGCTAGGCCTATTGTATTGAGGGCTTGTATAACTCTAAGAGTTTGTAGTGTACTGTATGTAAAGATAAAAGCTGAAATGAAACATCTAAAATATCTACCTAACAGACAGACAGACAGATTGTTTATTTGAGTCTCATCTCACAGAAATAATTACATAAATAAATATAAAAGGACATAAAAGTGAGCCACCCGTTAAGGGTTACGAGAGACTTAAAATGTATCACAGTATGTACAGCATAAATATATTGGTGTAAAAGGGGTATGAAAATATACTACCCGTAACTAGCCGTATAAAATATTTTTTCTTCGTTGGAGAATTAAAAAGCAGGTTTTGGCTGTAAAATATACATAATATTTAAAAAGTACAATAAGTTTATCCGTATTGCATAACTCTAGAAAGTTGGGATAGCTAAAACTCACCTTTTCGTATAAACTTGCACGCAAATCATCTAAAATATCTACCTAATATGTACAAATACTCAAAACTTGACTTGGCCACATAAGTGACAGACTACCTATCAGGTATAAGACCCTGACCTTTGCAGTGGAAACATCTTTGCACTTTTGTCTTAAATATATCAGATCTCCGGTATGTTCTCCCCTAATGGTGCTTGACTGGTTCCTGCTGATAGCCACATTTTATCTTCTTCAAATCATACTGATTATATTCTTTCATTTTCTGTGTCAGAAATATTTCAGATATCCAACTTTTAGAAGTAGTTTTTAAATCACAGAAATCACAAGCCAGAGAAAGCTGAAAGTTTGAATGCTAATCAGCACCCATGTTTGTCCAGGTACCTTGGCTTCAGTCTCAACACCTCCAAGGTCCGGTCCCAGGACACAGAGACGGTGATCAACACTATTGCAGCCAACCCCAGCGGTCAGCTGCTGGCCTGGAGGTTCGTCCAGCAGAACTGGGATACCTTCAGTGAAAGGTGAGACTGACTGACAGGCCAACACTGCCTCTTTCTCTAGCATTTCAGAAGAATTTTGGCTGGATATATTATAGGAATATTTACTGTATGTAGTCTAAAATCTGTTTCCATTTTTTTTTTTTTTCATTGTACAGTTTCAAACTTCAATTCGATACCTTTAAATTTCATTCAGAACCGAATGCAAAAGTGTGAGGTTTCAAATTTTACAATTTTACAGGTTTTAAATTGAAGTTGAAACCTCTAAATTGAAAACATGCCAGTTCGTTTATCTCCATTCTACTGTGACAAAAACAGAACATACACAAGGTCTTTAGTTACAGTGGAAATGATTAGTGAAGTGGTGTTGGTTGAGCTAATATTTTCAGAAGGTTTAGAGGGCGAATTCAGAGATCAGTGAAGAGGGGGTTTAATCCTTGCTTTATGTACCCAAACAGTAATATTGAATATGCTGCATGAACCAGTTCACGTGATCCACTCATTGGTAAATCTGCTAACCAGCCTGTAATGTTTCAGGTACAAGGGTGGTTCATTCGGGATGTCTCGACTCATCAAGGGTGTTGCATCTCACTTCAGCACACAGTTTGACTATGACGAGGTGAGTACTTGCGGCCAGTCCTGCCTCATATGATATCCCTGTTAAATCACTTTCTTTCTTTCTCTAAACAAAACGCAATTTTAGAATTAGTTAGTATCTGTGTTTGAAAATATACACTCACTTTTTCCACAGTGAAAGTAGGAAGCTCACAATATTGTGAAAATGATATGCTGTTATGAGGCCTTCGTTTTTCGAGCTAAACAGGCCTGAGTTATCCCCCTTAGATTATGACGTAATTGGAGCCAATTCAACTTGGTCCCTGTCTATTCTCAACGCAAAAGATATCAAGAACCAGTTTGCGGTAAAACAACATGGCCTACGACACACTCCGGCGCAGTGGTGACTCAGCATAACACTTTGCTGGCTGGCATCTGAGACGCTAGAATCACACACCTGTACCTACACCACGTGAAGCGGCTCTAACAAAGCATGATGACGTCATAATGTTTATCAATTGGCACCAATGACGTCATATTGCAGGGGGCATAAGCCATGGTGTTTTTGTTATGGAAATAGAACACTTGGTAAATGTGAAATATAAATCGTTTTAATGCAAAAAATATGTTAATTAATTGTGATATTTTTATTTTTTGGGGGGTGTATGACACTACTAGGTTAACACTTTTAATGTGGAAAAAGCACAAGAAAAATAGGTTCATTTTCATGTGAACTTGCCCTTTAAGCTGTTTCTATATCTGCCATTAACACATATACAATTCTATAACTGTTTTTTTCCGGGTAGATGGTCATATATAGTCATCATTCATAGGGGTGATACGAGTTAATCATCACTCACTGTCAGGTTTAATCTTCTATATCTGTTATTCCCAGGTATAGGCTTCTTTATTTGTTTCTCTACATTCTATATTTACTCCACAATGTTCTATCTGTTGTTCCATACATGCGTACCTCCCAATTTGTCCGGGAGGGTCCTGGATAAACGACCCATATCATAGTCCTCCACTGGGGGGGGCCTGTTTGACCTGGATGACCCTTTGTCTAGTTATCAACTGGTATTTAAATCCATATGAAGAACGATTTAACAATGTAGACTGGAAAGAAAACTTGGATAGACATAACAGCTAGGCGCCTGAGGGCACTTGAAATGAATAATCAGCCAAGTACTTATCACTTCCTGTTCTCAGCGTGTTTATCGCTGCATAATTTGATAAAACTTAGATATATATGACCGGCCCAGTTATACAGTCAAGTCCCGTTAATATGACATTGTTGGTTGCATATGATTATGACGGATTAACGAGTATGTCGGATGAACAACATACATGACTTTATTAGTTATCAGATTTTTCAGAAACTAAGCTAAGATGTCAATATACCTCAAAGTTACACTATTTGACTCTCAGAAATGAAAAAAAAATATGACCACCAAGCACTGTCTCCAGGAACAACAAGATGCGTGATTGGTTGATTCGGTAGTCAAAAATAGGAACGAGTTACACAATCAGGGTTCCTAACAGGGTTTCTAAGTCAAAGTAAGCCTCATGTTAATTTGCCTATAAACTGACATCATGACTTGTTAGCACAGAAATATCAACACATTGAACTTTGTCAAATTTCGCGAGAATGTATCACTGGCTAATAGTTAGCTGGCGTCCCAGATCAGCAATCTAATTCGCATACAACGATATTAGTCAACCAATGAGATTAATACATGTCTAGGTCAGAAAGATTGACAACGAGCCAATTTCATTTATAAATAGTAGTAAAAACGTAATAGCACTTCCAAATATGGCATACATTTCTTGGAATTTGAATGACATGAACATTTCTAGGAAATTTGTAAAGCAAAGAAGTCAGACTATTAACAGAAAAAACAACACTATACAATAATGAAATTGGTGGCAATGATGTTGCGTCAGGATAAACACACTTTATATTTCTTTGGCATATTTTAACCAAAAGCGCACCAAGACTACGTCGACTTGGAAGATTGGTCAGATTGAACATGTTGCCAAATGGCCAAACTACCTATCATTTGTTTTCAATTTCTGTTTGCGTCTATCTGAGATGATCTTTGACCGAAAGTGATATGAGTAGATTGTGAATCTTTTCATTATTATTGCATCCATGTAAGCTACAAGGCCGAAGGGGGCGGTCGGGTAGCCTAGTGGTTAAAGCGTTCGCTCGTCACGCCGAAGACCCGGGTTCGATTCCCGACATGGGTACAATGTGTGAAGCCCATTTCTGGTGTCCCCCGCCGTGATATTGCTGGAATATTGCTAAAAGCGGCGTAAAACCATACTCACTCACTCACTACAAGGCCGAAGGATACATCGGTCAATTAAAACTACTTTGTGTGTGTACAGCTACATATTCCTTAAATTAACTGACATTATTAATAAACAATATGGTTGATCGATATTGATTTTAAATCTAAAATCATGCTACATCTATGCCCAGTAATGATTTTGTGCTTTTAAGAAGAAAAAAAACTTAATTTGAAACAATTTTTAATTAGACAAATTATTTTTCTCTCAAATTGTTTGTTTGTTCCATAAACAAAGGACCAGAAAACATGTTAAATAAGTATGGATAGAACTGACCTTTGGGGTACTGAGCCATTGTAAATTGACAGATTGTGATGACTGTTTAACATTTAAATTTAATGATTGTTATTTTAAAATTCTCCCTAATAGATACAAATATCTACCTGATACAAAAGGATTAATGTCCCTGACACCCTCTGACAATTTATCAAATGTATGGTTGTTCCCAGGAACAATGTTCTCTGTCTGTTATTCTCAGGAACAATGTTCTCTATCTGTTATTCCCAGGAACAATGTTCTCTATCTACCAATCTTAGGAACAATGTTCTCCATGTGTTATTCTAAGGAACAATGTTCTCCATGTGTTATTCCCAGGAACAATGTTCTCTGTCTACCAATCTCAGGAACAATGTTCTCCATCTGTTATTCACAGTAACAATGTTCTCTATCTGTTATTCCCAGGAAAAATGTTCTCTATCTGTTATTCCCAGGAACAATGTTTTCTATCTACCAATCTTAGGAACAATGTTCTCCATTTGTTATTCTCAGGAACAATGTTCTCCATCTGTTATTCCCAGGAACAATGTTCTCTATCTGTTATTCACAGGAACAATGTTCTCTATCTGTTATTCACAGGAACAATATTTTCTCTCTGTTATTCACAGGAACAATGTTCATGTTATACCCTGGAAACATGTTATCTATTAATCCCAGGAACAATGTTCTCTATCTGTTAATCCAAGTCACAGTGTTCTCCCTCTCTTATTCACAGGAACAATGTTCTCTCTGTGTTATTCCCAGGAACAATGTTCTCTATCTGTTATTCCCAGGAACAGTGTTCTTTATCTGTTACTCCCAGGAACAATGTTCTCTATCTGTTATTCCCAGGAACAGTGTTCTTTATCTGTTACTCCCAGGAAGAATGTTCTCTCTAAATCCCAGGAAGAATGTTCTCTATCTGTTATTCCCAGGAACAATGTTATCCCGCAATCCCAGGAAGAATGTTCTCTATCTCTTAATCCAAGTCACAAAGTTCTCTCTCTGTTATTCCCAGGAACAATGTTCTCTATCTGTTAATGCAAGTCACAATGTTCTCTCTCTGTTATTCCCAGGAACAATGTTCTCTATCTGTTAATCAAAGTCACAATGTTCTCTCTCTGTTATTCCCAGGAACAATGCTTTCTCTCTCTCTCTGTTATTCCCAGGAACAATGTTCTCTCTCAATCCCAGGAAGAATGTTCTCAATCTGTTAATCCAAGTCCAATGTTCTCTATCTGTTATTCCCAGGAACAATGTTCTCTCTACCTGTGAAGATCCGGAGTAGAATAGGTCTTCAGCTACCCATGCTTGCCATAAAAGGCGACTATACTTGTTGTAAAAGGCGACTAACAGGAGGGTGGTCAGGCTCGTTGACTTGGTTGATACATGTCATCAATCCCAGTTGCGTTGATCAATGCACATGTTGTCAATCACTGAATTGTCTGGTCCAGATTTGATTATTTTCAGACCGCCGTCATATAGCTGGAATATTGCTGAGTGCGGCGTTAAACAACAAACCACCCAACCAATCTCAATCCCAGGAACAATGTTCTGTATCTGCTATTCCCAGGGGCAACGTTCTCTATCTGTTATTCCTGGGAACAATGTTCTCTATCTGTTAATCCAAGGTTCAATGTTCTCTCTCAATCCCAGGAACAATGTTCTCTATCAGTTAAACCAAGTCACAATGTTCTCTCTCTGTTATTCCCAGGAACAATGTTCTCTCTGTGTTATTCCCAGGAACAATGTTCTTTATCTGTTAATCCCAGTCACAATGTTCTCTCCCAGTACCATGTTCTCTATTAGTCCCAGGTACAATGTTCTCTGTTAGTCCTAGGTACAATGTTCTCTGTTAGTCCTAGGTACAATGTTCTCTATTAGTCCTAGGTACAATGTTCTCTATTAGTCCTAGGTACAATGTTCTCTATTGGCCTAGGTACAATGTTCTCTATTAGTCCTAGGTACAATGTTCTCTATTAGTCCTAGGTACAATGTTCTCTATTAGTCCTAGGTACAATGTTCTCTGTTAGTCCTAGGTACAATGTTCTCTATTAGTCCTAGGTACAATGTTCTCTGTTAGTCCTAGGTACAATGTTCTCTGTTAGTCCTAGGTACAGTGTTCTCTGTTAGTCCTAGGTACAGTGTTCTCTGTTAGTCCTAGGTACAATGTTCTCTGTTAGTACTAGGTACAATGTTCTCTGTTAGTCTTAGGTACAATGCTCTCTGTTAGTACTAGGTACAATGTTCTCTGTTAGTCCTAGGTACAATGCTCTCTGTTAGTACTAGGTACAATGTTCTCTGTTAGTCTTAGGTACAATGCTCTCTGTTAGTCCTAGGTACAATGCTCTCTGTTAGTACTAGGTACAATGTTCTCTGTTAGTCTTAGGTACAATGTTCTCTGTTAGTCCTAGGTACAATGCTCTCTGTTAGTACTAGGTACAATGTTCTCTGTTAGTCTTAGGTACAATGCTCTCTGTTAGTCCTAGGTACAATGTTCTCTGTTAGTCCTAGGTACAATGTTCTCTGTTAGTACTAGGTACAATGTTCTCTGTTAGTCCTAGGTACAATGTTCTCTGTTAGTCCTAGGTACAATGTTCTCTGTTAGTCCTAGGTACAATGCTCTCTGTTAGTACTAGGTACAATGTTCTCTGTTAGTCCTAGGTACAATGTTCTCTGTTAGTCCTAGGTACAATGTTCTCTGTTAGTCCTAGGTACAATGTTCTCTGTTAGTCCTAGGTACAATGTTCTCTGTTAGTCTTAGGTACAATGTTCTCTGTTAGTTCTAGGTACAATGTTCTTTATGATTGTTATTCCCAGGTTCAGGCTTTCTTTGCCAAGAGAGATGCCGGGTCAGGAACCAGAGCTGTGAAACAGTCCCTGGAGAAAATACAGATGAACATTGATTGGCTGGAGAGAAATGAAGCAGAGGTCACTGATTGGCTGAATCAGCATTCAAGCTGAATTATTTAGGAAGGGTTGTGTGTCAAAAGTTGAAAATCTTAATGATATGTTTTAATGATGTTATGAATATCAGTCTTTGAAATATGTTATTCAAGGGAGGTTTTATTTCTCTACAGGTATACAGGGGTGGTGGGGAAGCCTTGTGGATAATGCAATCAAGCATCACGCCAAAGGCCTTGCTTCAGTTCCACACATGGGTACAATGTGTGAAGCCCATTTCTTGTTTTCCTTGCTGTGATGATGCTAGAATATTGCAGAAAGTGTAAAACCATACTGTTCTTATACAGAGAAGGATGGGATCTGATTAGCTTCTCTGGGTATTTTTCTGACTTAATTGAAAGGTAGAAATCACTATTCTTTTTATAATGGTACAAATAACCATATTCCAAAGCAGTGTTGACTAGGATCACTTTGAGTGTGTTCTCAAGGTCATACAATGAAATACGTTTGGGACCTCATTTATAGAGAGTCGTGGTGTTTTCTCCAGGTTTGACAGTCCTCTGCAAGACTGATTTGGTTTGTGCTGTAAAACTCATTTGTAGGTTTTCATTCTGTCCTCACCCTGAACTTGGACATCAGCACTGAATGTTATTGAACACAGCTGTAATACAGCCCATAGAATCTAAAGCTGAGAATCCCCCAAACCAAGGCTTTCCTGGATGGGTGGACCTTTGTTTGTAGGTGAGCCAGTCCAAGACTTTCCTGGATTGGTTGACCTGTTTGCAGTTGAGCCAAATTAAGGCTATCCTGGACGGATGGACCTGTGTTTGTAGCTCAGCAAAACCAAGGCATTCCAGGATGGGTTTGATCCGTGTTTGTGGCTAAGCCAAACCAAGGCTTTCCTGGATGGGTTTGATCAGTGTTTGTGGCTAAGCCAAACCAAGGCTTTCCTGGATGGGTGGATCTCCTTCACTACTAATCGGTTTGTTTGTAAACTCTGTCGGATAGTCTAGTGGTTAGAGCATTAGCTCGTCACGCTGAAGACCCGGGTTCGATTCCCGACATGAGTACATCTGAAATTGAAAGAAGGATTAACTTCTTTGAATATGAAAGTCAACAGATTCAGAGTTTGGGGAAGGAACCTTATTGACTGTGTTTTCATACATAGTATTGGCATTGTGATATTCCTATACGGAAAACCTTGTTTGCATATTATCAGTGTACTTATTGTGCACTGACATTTTAATCTTGCGGTTAAGTTATATCATATTTGAAGTCAGCTTCAGATGAAACAAACTTCACATTACTAAATTTTGTGGCTGCATGATTTGTCATCCGAAATTCACCCTGATTAAGTTTCTAGGTTTGTCAGCACCACACCCATTTTACCAAAGTGGTAATCGTCTAAGTCGTGCATCACTTCAGGCTTTCCTTCAACATTGAGCTGACATTCCGTGATTTGACTCGAATACTGTTCAAATCGGCGTTATACCCTACTCACTCACTCATTCACTAAATGGGGACTTGAATGGATGTTATTGCAGCCATGTTTTAGAACTTCTGACTTTGTTATATCTGAAGTTGATCATGCTATTTATGTATTTTGACTTTTAACCTATAAATTGGCTGTGTGTACTTTTATATCTTGTTTTTAAAAATTCCATTTTTCTTACGGTGCTTGTACATGAAATACTGAATCAAAATACATTTTAAGCTTACCTTCCAGAATATTCTGTAGGTCAGTGTTGTTACAGGGTCAACCAAGTGTATGGTGATGAAAACAATTAGGGGACACATCACAGACAACAGTAGAGCATGTAGGGACCCACTGTTTAATCGTGAATTGTTTCCCTCAGAGAAGGAGCCGAGTCTGTTTCTTGGACCCACACCAAATTATTGTTCAGAAGATCCAGTAGATCTTTTCTGTAAAATTGAGAACAAATAAGAATATCAGATTCCTCCACACTACCACACACACCACACCCATACCCCTACACCTACACACTCCTCTGAATATCACATAGTTAATGGATGAGCTGGTCAGGCTTGGTGACTTCGTTGATTGCTTGTCATCGTATCCCTGTTGTGTGGATCGATGCTTGTGTTGTCAGTCACTGGCTTCTCTGGTCCAGACCAAATTATTTACAGACTGACGCTATGTAGCTGGAATATTGCTAAGTGCAGCTCTAAACAATACACACATTTGGTGGTTGTTCCCTTACTTATTTCCATCAGTATACATGTATATCAGCCTTGTAGCTTGTCTGTTGTTCTGTAACACATAGTTCCATCTGACAGGTTAATTTCAATATATATTTTGGAATTCGGCTCAATGTCTGTTGTAGAGTTACTGAGTGTGGATGAACACAGTACACTGACCTTGATCTTGACCTACATTGATAACCATGACGTCCCCCGTGTGATTCGTTTCAGTGGTTGGACGGCAACATGGTGAAGGTATTGCTCCTGCACATGGGGGACACGTCTTACTGTACATGCAGGATGTCGACTGAGTCATTGTTGTCTGAGTTAACATAAGGTACAATGAACTACTTGATCCTTTCTCAATGAATGATATCTCTCTTTTTGTCACTTTCCAAAATGTTGCCCTCCTTCCTGACCTGCCTGTTTGGTTGTCATCATCAGTGACTTAACAGGGACAATACTGTCTATGATTTTCAATAGCCTATGACATGTGATTATAATTGCAAGCCAAAGCATGTACAGAAGAAATCAGGACATATTTTTAAAAGTAAATGTTGAGTATGAGATGGGTTAGTATTTTATGTTCCTCTGAAAGAGGTTTTACAAAGTGAGAAAAATAGTATTTACAAGTAAGGGTCTTTAGTGTTTTCACCATTGATGTTTTTATGTTATCTGTCTTCCCCTGATTCTCTTGGACCGCCTCCCTCTCTCCTCCTCCTGCTCCTTTACCATGCTTATGAATGTAAATAATGTGAAGGGGAAAAGATATTTTATATTTATTTTACATCTTATGACATATATTGAGATGTGTGTTATATTTTGTGATGTACAAGTCCGTACACTGTGATGAGTCACATCTGGACTGGCTTGCTGATGGGTCTTGTTGTAGAATGACTGCTACCTTGATGACTGAAGGAAAATATATTCACACACTTGCCATTAGAATCTGACCAACTCTCCATCTCCTTACGTCAGATGAACATTCAGTCGACCACTTAGTGTTGAGGCTTCTAAATTCTTTGTACAAGCAAGCGAAGCATTCAGAGCAGCATAACTGACTTTTGTATCTCAAAATGAATGTAAACAGGCAGTTGCAAATGGAGATTAATAAAGTCCTCACTATTTGTGTTGTAAATAAATATGTTAAAAACTTGCTTTCAAGGAAACATTTGTGTTCTGTGTATCTGAAACAAGGTTGTGAAGAAATGCATCTGAATTGTTTTTGAAAGCTGCTAACTGATTGGACGGTCAAAGTTTGCTCAGGGTTCACCTATGTGACCTCCAAGGGAGGGTTTGTCAGATCTTGATGGATAGATGTATCCGCTCCAGTGAGACAGGTGTTTTGTAGCATACACACAAGATGATAGACAGAGATATCTACCCAGTTTGTGAGATCAGCAGTTAGTTCTGTTATACCACTCACCTATTCACTTCATATCACTAGTGTCAGTGATAATGATTCCTCCCTTGTCAGGGTTCAGAGAGCTGGTATGATTAGAGCTTTAAGATAGTAATACCAACAGCATGAGATATCCAAAGACCAGAAATATTGTTCTGCAAGATTGGTTGGTTGGTTGGTCTTCCTATGAAGTAAGTGTCTGCAACATGCCATTACCTTGCCCTGTGTCATCCCAGGCCAGAATAGTACACGATTATTAGCAGTAATTGGAGACTAGATGACCCAAGTGGTTGTGTCACCGTATCCTAACTGAAGGACATGGATGCCCAGGTTGATTATTTCATCGTGTCAAACAATATTGGGGATTGGATCAATGCTCTGCCACTGGTTTGTGTAGTCTTTGGAAGTGGTATAGCTCGGATATTGCTGACTAAGGTGCAAACCCTGTTCCCTCACTCACTTACGGTGACAACCGATACATGTTAAAACTTGTTAACAGTATCTTTGTTTATCAGTCAGTGTCACTTGGTCATATCACTAAATTGGATCCTGTGGCTATCCTGGGAAGTATTTGTTATATAATAATTATATATAATCATTGGTTGGTTGTTAAGGTGGAGGGGCGGTGGGGTAGCCTAGTGGTTAAAGCACTCGCTTGCCACCGCGAAGACCTGGGTTCAATACCCCACATGGGTACAATGTGTGAAGCCAATGCATATCCCTCTCCGTGATATCACTTGAATAATTGAAATATTGGTGTAAAAACCATATTCACTCACTCACTGTTAAAGTGGAAATCCGTTGGTCACAATGATGAGAAGAAAGTTAGATGTATATTGTGAATGTTAATTTAATTTAGTTTTATTAGCACTACTCTCTTCACACCTTCCATTGCATCAAATGAAATATAGACATTATATTTACATGGGATGAATAAGATATTCACCATTTCCTGATGGCAGGGAGTCAACTGACTATTAAAGTCCAGTTTCCACCCTTGCCGAACTAATGTGGAATTATAGAGTCAAATTTTGGCTGCACTAATGAGTCTATGCATTGTACATTCAAAATCCCCTAATGATATCGACATCTGGTTCATGAACATGGCAACTGCCGTGCCGAATTCATTCGATTGCAGGATTTGCATAGAAGGGACATAACTCGTAACAGCCACTGGAGATACTACAATTGAGCCCCGAAATTCCAGCCTAGTTCAGCAAGGGTGGAAACTGGACTTTTAAAATCAGTCAACTCCCTTGCCTTGGGAAGATGGATATTCGCGGGATGGACAAAAGTTGATCGGGTAACTGGGACATAAACAAAGTGAATATTGTGTAAAATGTTGACAGGGATGCAACTAAACCTGAAAAATATTCTAGGCTGTACAGTGATACCATATCAGGATACATCCATAAACCTGAAATACCCCTGGGGCCCTTGGGGTACTTTTATCATCAGACAAACTGACTTGCCCTAGAGGCCACTTTGTGTCACTGACTAAATATCTTAACGAAAGATGTGGACTGTATATTTACATCTATGGAGAATGGTGGAGAATGGTGGATCGAGTGACTGTATTTGTTGTTACAGGACATGATCACACTATCGGTCGCTTTGTGAAGTATCCTCAAATTTGTGTTTGTTACTGGTTGTGAAAATGTATTTTTGTCCATTTGTAATTTGTTTATGTATGTGTATGTCTGGTCTGTGTGCCACTTCAGTCAGATGTGGGTACATGTATTACATGTGGCCCTGGCTGCAGGATGTGAGTGGGTTGGTCTGTCTGGTGGTGGGTAACATGAGTACCTGCTGGATCAGATGACTCACTGTAGGGCATGCTTGTGTCACCCAGCTCACATTTCCAGGCTCTTGTTTACCTGCTGCACATGGGAAAAGTGCACACAGCAATATGTAGGCCTGTATCAGAATAACAGTACTGCCAAAATGTATATTTTTCCTATCAAAAATGAAGACAAAGAAGTTCTGGTGCCAAGAAAAACTCTATGTTTCCAATTACATGTTGCTTTGTTTTATTCCATGAGTATATTTGGTCAGAAATACTTGTGATGACAATGTCAGACCAATAATTCTTCTGAACTTACATGCTCTGATAAACACAAGCTATGGTTAGCAGTAAAACTGCCACAATATCACGGCACTGGTGCTAATTATTTTCAGTCATGAATCTCAGTGCTGCTGTAGCCATGTCACATTGTATGTCAGTGTTATGTATAACATTCCATTAATGTATGTGTAAAGTCTTGTCTTATCAGCCATTTCTTGTCATATAAAGAGATTAATGTTAATTTGTGTTGTTTTCCTTACAAAACAGGTGTGTCGGTCTCTGACCTGTTGCCTCCGTGGCGATTCTGGTTTGATTTTGGTCCGAAGTGGCCCATGCTGGTCATAAGAGGCTCGCAATGGATCAGGTGGTCAGGCATGGTGACTTGGTTGATTGTGTGTTTTTGTACCTAACGACTTTGATCGTTGCTCACTATACCAATCACTGGATTGTCTAGTCCAGATCTGATTATTTACATGCCACTGTTATATAGTAGGAATATTGCTGAGAGTGTCTTTACACATGAAACTAACAAAACAAACAAATCTTACCTGTTGATAGAGGATTCAGAGTATGTGTTACCCAGTAACTGGCTCGCATCTGAGTATACAGAGCGGGGAGTGTGCTTACTCCCTGCATCTTGAATCATACAAAACTTTAACACTTTTCATAGACAATTGGCGAAAGACAAGCTGCTTCTCAGAATATTTGCAGTAGCACTTGCATGCTAGGCTGTGATCACAAGATGTACCCATGTTTTGTTGAAAGAGCTGTTCCGGTGCTTGGCCTGAATGCTACCTTGACCACCTGGATGGAGGAGAGTGAAACCCAGCAGGATCCAGGGGGAGAACAGGGACCCCTTCCACCAGCGATGGCAGCGTTATGGTGCTTATAACTGCCATACTGCAACATAGGCTTACAATCGTCCTGGACCTAAGAGTGCCCCATTGCTTGTCATAAACGGTGACATTATTCACTCACTTTTAAATCCAGCAAATCCAGCATCAGCTTGATTCTAGAACTTACGACATATTACAGGATAAATACTGACCTAAAACCTACACACCTGTGTGTATATATATATACACACACCGGTATATACAGCCGTGTATAACAAATGTACCTGGTGGTATTGGGGCCCCGGTCTATCTTTCTATATATATATATATATATATATTTATATATCTATATCTATATATGACTGGGGCCCCAATACCACCAGGTACATTTGTTGTACACGCCCGTATATACCGGTATATATATATCTGATGGCCCTAATAGAACCAGGTACATTTGTTATACACGCCTGTATATACCGGTATATATATATCTGATGGCCCTAATACCACCAGGTATATTTGCTATACACACCTGTATATATATCTGATGGCTTTGAAGTCTGGGCTGAGGTGTTTCATCCAGCTTTCAAATCCAAGAATCTCATCTAGATTCTGCACAAGTTTCATTAGAGCAGACACTATCCACTTGTTTTCTGAATAAAAGTCCTGCACGAAGCAGTACAATACTCACTATTCTATATCCCTGCAAACTTGTATAGGTTTAGCTAGACCCAGTGTCGTGGGACTGCATTTGTTGCATAATGTCCACTTGTCAGGTAATTGTGAAAAGTGCTTGCAGTATTCATCATCTCTTGGATAGGTATTTTACTGTACATCCTACCATGGACCTGGGTCATCTTTTGGAAGTTCATAATGTCCAAGGTCAACAGTCCAAATGTTCTGTTGGTACACTTCCTTAAAAAGAACTGATGACAAGGACAGCATTCAGATTTGTGGAAAATCACAATTATTGGACTCGCTCCTGATCTCCCTTCCTCATCAAGTTGATACATCAGAAGCTTCACAAAAAACAAAAGCAGAATTTCTGCAAAATAAGTTTATTGAGACGTACTTCGTCCCTGGTGCCTGACATAGCCAGGGTTATGCCTACCTGTACAAGATAACAGACGATACATACTTTCATAGCTGAACACTTGCTACAGACAGCCAGCAGATATAGCTCATCACATGATAACAGTTTACTAATGACAAGACATGATGAACATACAAATACAGGACCTGTGGTCTCAATGGCATCAATTTGAAAAATTCGTGACTCTTCAAGCAGAAAACAAAACTATTTCTTGTTTGTTTTACGCTGCAGTCAGCTGTATTCCGGCTGTATCAGTGGCCTGTGACAAATCAACATCTGGACCAGAGAAGCCAGTGACGGAAAAGCCCGGGGAAAGATCCACATCACACACAATCAGCCTAGGTATGGGGCCGGAGAACCCAATCCTTTAGTCAGCCTTTATGATAAGTATGGGATACTGGGGACCTATTCCCACTTCCTAACAGTACCACCCAAATGATACTGTTAGCATTTTACACAGATTTTAGTAATATTTCAGCGACATCCTGGTGGAAGGCACCAGAAACAGCTTCACACCTATTACCTGGGTCTTTGAAAAGATGAGCTACACCAGCGAGGCCAGCTTGACAGAGCCCATAACACTGATGGTGAGAAGGTTTTTAACACTGACAGCTGATCTGTGACTGAAGACCATGTTGGTCTAGTGGATGACATGACACCGATGTGATGCTTCTACATATAACATCAGTTGGTTTTTATTTGATCTAAAAAATCTGTAGGTTTAATTTGATAAAATAAGTTTGTTCATCTCCACTGTCAGAAGGTTCTCTAGTCTAGACAGAATTCTATTCTCAGAGATGAACACAAGTGATCAGATCCCATTTAATTGTATAATACAAAATCATATTGATTATCTTTCGTGCAAGTATTAAATGACTAATATTGCAAAATTTGTTTCTAAAAAACATGGACAAAACAAAGAATTTAATGATCATAACAAAATATGAAACCTAAAATCTTGATAAACTGACGTCTACACTAAAACCAGCTATAAAAGGCAGAGCAGGGGATACAGCGTTCAACAAAGAACAGCGCAGATAAAACATAAATGCAAATCTGGACTTCCGTATGTACAATTTTAAGAACTAAATTTGGCTTTCTGCGTGTCCATTAACAATGAAGTACAGAAACTTGAAACATTGATTCATAGAAACTCAGTTCAGGTTTTATCAGGTAGGGGGTGAACACTGAACGATGGCACAACCTTTACCACTTGGGCTGGGCTGCCTAATTCAATACAGTTATTTATACAATACTATACAGACTTGCCGACTTGAGTTCGGTAAGCTCATTACCATAATCATGATAATCAGTAGATTGTTTGTCCAAAGTGACCTCTGACCCGCAGTCAGGACAGCACACCTCCTTGTGGTGACATGACTAATCTGCCGACAGGGCTGAAGATCTCCAAACATTTCTTCTCCTTACAGACCATGTTACTACTTATTGTCATTATCATTATCATTATCATTATTATCAATACAACAAACCTTGATAACACTCACTTTGTACAATTCTTTGACAATCAAATTGAAATGAACTCAAATGAATCTCCGGGACTGACATTTGTAAGTCACGCAGGTAGACGACTAACTATGGAAAGGGCACATGATAGCATCCATTTCTGATGTTCATAGTTTTATTTTGAAATGTTTAATATAGTTTTTACAAAATGACATATACCGGGGTACTTGTTTTCTTGGCTTGATTTATTTTATTGGTTTGTTGTGAAAATATATCTTGGAAAGTCTACGATGCTCACATTGCTTCTCAGGTCTTATGACTAATACATGGTATGTTGGATTTAAAAAAAAATTGACAAACTTAAGGCTAATAACCCATATGAAAAAGCCTTGAAAATGACAGTTGAAATTTTAGTGTCTCATATCTGCCTGAACCTTGTGACAGACAAAAAAGGCTATCATGAAGAAGGGTTCTGTCCGGATTCACTATTTTGGTGTGCTATGCCTAGTTCAGAGCTATTTGAACTTTCCATTCAGTGCAATAGGGTAAGTCTCTATTTATCCTGTTATATAAGTTACCTCCACAAAGCCTAGCCTATATGAACTATATCAACAATAGGAATTGTAAAGTATGAAATTTAAATTGGGGAATTAATAATGCCATTTGCTTCAGACTTGAGGCGGAACATTGGTTGCTGGGCAGGTTGAGATAAATCCCTGTGTAATGTTTGGTGACTTGACTCATGTCGGAGAACCAATGATTATAACTGGGCAGCATCACAGCTTCAAGCATGCTTGGGGGCATGAACACAATGCATTATAGAAATATCCATCATTGAGGCTTAAAAAAATAAAAAGAACTTGTTCTCAGGCGATGGCTTTTGAAAATATAGTGTGGGTGTCTTTTTTTTTTTATGGTTGTTCAAACTAGTGTGTAACCAAATAAGCAGTTGTGTACAATCAAAGGGCCTCCATACATTAATGTATTCCTCGATCAGTAAAATACTGGAATACAGTATTGGACTACTGTTGGACTTGGAATAGTTAAGGATTTTTTAAAATTTGTTTTTAAAAATGGAAAGAAAAATGAAACATTTATGATGAACGAACTTTATGATGATGCAGGCGGTGCCTGAGAACCAAGACTATTATTTTTAATAATAGTAATACTAACGACTATTTAGTCTGTTCAATAACTATCTACTCCATGCCCTTTTCCTTTCCTAATGTAAAGTAGATGAAGACTTAAAAACACATCGAAACCTTCTTCGTGAAAACATGAACACATAACATTCTCAGAATATACATTCACCCTCGTAGGTTTTGACAAGAAATTATCCTTACGTAAATATTTAGTGAATCTTGAAACAGGTAATATCAAAAGATGGCACTGACAGCACTTTGAGAATTGCCAACCGAAAACAAGTGTTTCAATGGTTCCTGATATCAATTATATCTGGGTACATTCCATGAAGCAATTTTAGCGCTATACCTGTCGTAAGTGTATGTTCAGGTATGGGAGTTAGATAGATGTAGAGCTACAATTACACTCTGAATGAAGCCTCCGTTGTGAGGGCTGTCGAACATTGTCATTTCACGGTGTCCATGCACGTACCAAACAAGTTAGTCAACACCATTGGAGTGAGTTTGTTCTACTGCTGCCTTGACCAGTGTTTCCGTCATATCAGCTTCATGTGGGAGGAAAGCTCCAACTGAGACCCATCAGCAAATTAAAACTAAGTCTTAGAACGCATGGACAAAGTTCTAACTGCCATGCTATTACCACATGCCTACACCAAGGAGGGACAAACATGAAATACTCTTTATCTAGCTTGAAACTTTTTACATAATCTGTATTTTTTTCAATTCTGGTTGAGTTTTTATATCTGAAATACTTGTACATCAGAAGCTTCAAAGAGTCTGCAGTAACATGTAGAAAAATGGTTTGTAACCATGACAATATTTACAAGGACTTGACAACATGGAACACCGGCAAGCACCTGCTACCAGTTACACCAGCAGGCAATGCAAGTATGTATATATACAGCTTCATGTAGCATAGGCAGTGAGTGCGTAGGGCCTGACAGTCCCGTCAACACTGCAGCAATAGGAGGGACATAGCAACAGGCTTCACATGTTGTATTGTGTTGGGAATCCCACTCAGACCTCCATAATGATGACAGTCACTGGAACCACGAGGAACAGGAGAGTACGAGGACCTGTTCACTGAAAGCCCATCACAGTGTGTGAGAAGTGTTTTACACCTCATATAGTGAGTGAGTGAGTATGGTTTTACGCCGCTTTGAGCAATATTCCAGCAATATCACGGCGGGGGACACCAGAAATGGGCTTCACACATTGTACCCATGTCGGGAATCGAACCCGGGTCTTCGGCGCTTGGAACGCTGTAACCACTAGGCTACCCGACCGCCCCTACACCTCATATAGCAATACTCCGGCAAAATCAGGGCAAGGAAAACCAAACATTGGCTCCACACTTCATATTCATGTGTATTAGGAATCAAACCCAGGTCTTCAATGTGACACAGTGATGCACTAACCAGTAGGCTACCACTATGGCCCAAAAGACAGTGATGTTAAGCCGAAAATCTAAAACTCACAAGTAAAGACTATCATACTGAAAGTTGAAGTTTTTGTTTTAGTGTTTTACGCTTTCTTAGCACTAATGCCCAATATCCCAGCAAGGTGGGGCACCAGAGATGGAGTTCACACATTGTATGCACCTGACTCCACATCGTTGATAGTTTGGGTCGACAGATAACCAAGTCATGAAACAAAATCTCAACATGTGACAAGTTGTGCAGAAAACTAGAACTTTACACAAGAATGAATTGTCATGTGTGGTACAGTTGATGGTGACTGGCCCCAACTATTCTGTCACAAGGCCATTCCCCTACGCACTCATGTAGCTCTAGCATTCTCCAGTTGAGGGCTACGTCCACACCAAGTGATGACATTCCCTGAAGGACAAGTACAATTGTTGAAGTCAATGTTGCATATTAGCAAACACATGGTGTTGTTGGATATATTAGGATGATGTTGATTGGTGGGGGCTCTCTCGGTCGCGGAACCATCAAAATGAACCCTGGGTACCTGACACATGTATACATTGTAATGTGCCACGCTTCCATCGCTTTTTTTTCGCAAAGTCACAAACAGTTCAGCAATTTTACGATGTTCTTCACTTTGTGTTAACATGGCCACACCTGCTATGTAATAACAAGTCCAATCCGTGTTCAAAATAAGTACCTGCTTGTAGGCCCCTGTCAACGTAGATCTTGTCAGGCACGTAGTTTCAAATTTGTATTTATGGCCTCCAGTAAATTTAGGTGTAGATTTCTTTGTCACAATAAGCTGCATTTTTTTAAAGGGTCTGCAGCTTCTAATGTCTGTGGGTCCTGATGGCAGCCTCGCAACTTTTTTTATTTCCAACACTGGTTGATATATATGATTTTGATAAAAAACGTATTTGGGAATGCAGGCTTTTGTGGGTGTTCACAAGCCCTGGGAAAAGTGGGAGGTTCATCAGTCAACTGAGAAGCTCACAATTTATTGATGGCAGTGTATTTGTGACCCCTTGACACAAAGTGGTTAATGTGGTAAAACTGTGGAGATGTGGCTAGAGAAACACTGGGTACAAATTGATGGAACCATGGTACACAATGTAAACATACTGCCCTGGGTACATCAACCTGCACCAGCACCAGCACGTACCCACGGTACATACATTTCAATGGTACCCCTGCGAGACAGACACCATCAGTTGGATTGCTGCCTTGAGTTCTTGGAGCAAGTTGAACTGACTTCAACTTCAGCATGTTCACTGGTCTAGGGGAAACCTAGTAGTTGCCACGGTATCCATGTCCTCCCCTGCCTCTGTAGTCACGGTTATCATGGTGACCTTGACCTCGGCTCTGACCATATCTGTCTCTTTGGTTGCCATAGTTGTCACGGTAACCCCCTTGCTGAGGTTGGTTTCCATGGTAACCTCCATAATTTCTATCATGGCCACCCTGATGTCTGTTGTAATTCCTGAAATATGAGAACAATTGACAACTGACATGAACATCAAACCAAAACAATGAACTCTAAACTCATTTCATTCAGTCACTACCAGCATAGTTTGTATGGGCCAGCAATGGTCCTTATCATACCTCGTCCTTGTATTACATTGTACAGGTACAATACCGGTTGAGCAACAAAAACTGACCAATAAAGTTTGAATTACCACATACCTACACAACATTAAAAAATAAGAGGGGCCCTGGAATGACGGAGTGGAATAAGCATTCATTTGTCACCATGAAAGCCCAGGTTCCATTCACCTCAATCGACGTAAATCATACTCACTTGTTCATTCCCAAAACAGACAAATGTACAATGCTCACCTGTTGTCATTCGGATACCTCCGGTCATCATAGCGGTGACCTCCACCGTAACCTCCGCCGTGTCCACCATACCTATCTCGGTCAGATCGATGCTGCTCACGGCGATCACGATCTCGATCATATCCCCGGTCACGTGACCGATCGTAGTCATGTGACCTGTCTCTATCTCGGTCATGTGACCTGTGTCTGTCCCTATCATCAGATCGGTCTCTGTAGTGGTCGTGAGATCGGCCTTGCTCACTATCACGTGCCCTCTCATGGCTGTAGTGTTTGTTTGGCAACCGTTGAGAGTCGCTTGGCAACTGGGTTTTGGCAGAATCAGTCTTCGGATCTTTGGTCTGGCACAAAAACAAAGGCTTCATTACAGCAACTTTAACTTCAAATGAATGATACCTTTTCGCCATCGTTCATGATGCTTACAATATCAGTTTTCTAAAAGACTGTACATTCCAAATACAAGAAAACCAGGGCTCTGATGAGGACTGAAACAAGCTTGGGGCTGAGTCAAACACTCAGTACTTGACAGCGGAATAACTCACATGTTCAGCCACAACGTGTGTTGCAGACATGGGGGCATTGTCTGTTTGTTTGGTTTGTTTGTTGTTTAACACCGCACTCAGCAATATTCCAGCTATATGACCGCGGTCTGTAAATAATCGTGTCTGGACCAGACAATCCAGTGATTGATATCATGAGCATCGATCCAAACAATTGGGATTGATGACATGCATCAACCAAGTCAGCGAGCCTGACCACCCGATCCCGTTAGTCGCCTCGTACGACAAGCATAGTCGCCTTTTACGGCAAACATGGGTTCCTGCAGACCTATTCTAGCCCAGAATCTTCACAGACATGGAGGGGAAACGGTACAGTGTCTGGAATATTTCCACTTAAATATTGCTTGTAAAAAAGACACAATATTGATTGTGTGGCATCTTACTGTTGAAATTGTGGACTTGATTCCAGAATGGGTTGAGAGATATGGGTACCAGCATCCATTTCTTTGTAGGGCCCCACAGGCCACAAACCATAGGCTCAGATCTACTATTACTCCTTGCATTAACAATGTCAACTTATTACATATTTATCAGAAGCAGAGTACACAAGACCGTAAAATTAGAGAATCATTCGACTGTATTTTTTAAACAGCATCCATGTACTCACAGAGTCCAGAGTCTCCGGGGCACTGGGAGGTTGACTAGGTGGTAGAGGAGCAGGCTGTTCGTCACCAGTCTTCCCGACACTCTCAGCCTCCTCTGGAACCTCGGTGTTCTTGTCAGTGGAGGTCAACTGTTCCCCTTCTTCAGGGACGGGAGAGGACACCTTCTCTGTCCCTTGAGATGCTGCTCCCTCCCTGTTCTTCTCAAACTCTTGAGATGACGGCTTTTCGCCGTGTGAGACACTTATCTCCTGACCCTCTGGCATGGTCTCACCGTCATCTTTACCTCCCTTGTCAGTGTCATCTGGTGTGACTGACGTCTCAGGCTGAGATGCCTCTTGCTCTTCACCCTCAGCAACACCTTCAGCCACATGTTCTTGCTTCTCCTCAGCATCGAGCTGAGTTGAACTGTCACCGGGGCTCTCATCCACTGTCTTACTCACCTCAGACACCTCTGCTTCTGGCTGTGTCTCACTAGCCTCTGGTTCTGGCTGTGTTTCATTAGCCTCTGGTTCTGAGTGTGTCTCACTAGCCTCTGCTTCTGGCTGTGTCTCACTAGCCTCTGCTTCTGGATGTGTCTCACTAGCCTCTGGTTCTGAGTGTGTCTCACTAGCCTCTGCTTCTGGATGTGTCTCACTAGCCTCTGGTTCTGAGTGTGTCTCACTAGCCTCTGCTTCTGGCTGTGTCTCACTAGCCTCTGGTTCTGAGTGTGTCTCACTAGCCTCTGCTTCTGGATGTGTCTCACTAGCCTCTGGTTCTGAGTGTGTCTCACTAGCCTCTGCTTCTGGGTGTGTCTCACTAGCCTCTGATTCTGGCTGTGTCTCATTAGAATCTGCTTCTGGCTGTGTCTCACTAGCCTCTGATTCTGGCTGTGTCTCATTAGAATCTGCTTCTGGCTGTGTCTCATTAGCCTCTGCTTCTGGCTGTGTCTCACTAGCCTCTGATTCTGGGAGCGTCTTGTCAACCTCTGATTCTGAATGTGTCTTGTCAACCTCTGAATCTGGTTGCATCTCACTGACATCTGGTTGAACATTTGCCTCGTCTACATCCATTTGCTGAAATGCCTCACTGGCCTCTGACATTATCGGCTTGCTATTATCTGGCTGAGGCGACTTTTCATCATCTCCCAGCACCGTCTCACCCTTCTCCTCTACTACTGACGTGTCCATACCCTCCTCGGCCTTCTCCTTATCACTGCCCTCAACAGCTTTCTTTGTGTCCTTATCCTCAACCACTGATGTGTCCATACTCTCCTCGGCCTTCTCCTTATCACTGCCCTCAACAGCTTCCTTTGTGTCCTTATCACAATACTCTTCTTTATCTTCAGGTTCTTGTTCACTCTCCTCGCCCTTTTCAACAGCCTCTTCATCGCCACCCTGTGTCTGATCTTTATCAACACTCGCGTCACCACTTTCTTTATCCTCATCTTTATCAGGTGCTTTCTCGTCATCTCCATCCTTCTCTCCTTCATCTTCAGCCTGGACTTTGTCCGCTTCCGAGTCAGTCATTCCATCACCCTTATCTTTATCAGCTGCTACAGCGGCCACTTCCTCATCTTCCTCACTGTCAGCAAGAGCACTCTGCACCAAGGAGTCGATGTTACTGGCATCGTTTGAGGTCTCCTCCGGTTCCGGGGTGAAAGGCTGCCGAAGAGATAGCACAAGCTCAACAATGTATCACAGCATCTCAATCACAAGTGTCAAAGTGTCTCGCAACAATGTGTCACAGCATCTCATCACAACAATGTGTCACAGCATCTCAATCACAACAATATGTCACATTGTCTCAATCACAATTGTTTTAACTCCTGTGATATTAATGTACTACGCTTGATAGCTTCATAATTAGGTAAATTATCTAAAATTAAACTGACACAGCGATACATCTGTCTAGTGGACCAGGATTTCTGCCTTGTGGATTGACATTTGTTCTGTGGTGCAACGTACTGAAATGGTTCTGGAATACTGTCATACGCCTCCTCCTAGTGTTATACACTCCTGACTGTTGCTTGTTTAACACTTCAGTCCAGTGATATCATGGCTACTGGTAAATATTAGATGACTGATAATATGTGCACTGCCCCACGGTGTCGGGAATGATGATACACTTGATCCATTTGATCGCCTCTTCCAACAAGCCTACGCTGCTGGACATGTTCTAACAGACTCCCCATGGGGACATATGTAAATAAACTCCAGTGTTACCCTGTCACCACTGTCGTCAGTTCCAAACACAGAGGCTTTGGTAGGTGTCTTGTCGTCCTTCAGCTTGACCGTCAACCATCTGCGAGCCCCGGTCAGCTCGGGCGGGATGCTTGGGTCCCGAGTCTCCTCTGGTGGGTCTGGCGGGAGAATCTTCTCACTGATTGCAGCCGAGGTGAAACGCTTTTCTGAAATCCGCAAATAGGAAAGTCAAACATGTGAAAATGTTTCAAACATCGAGATGTATTTCACCCTTACTACCACACAAAGTCGATACCTAATTAGCACGTCCATGACTGAAGAGGAAAGGGTAGAATTTCAAGACAATGATCTCTATTATTTCATCATGTGTTATACATCTTTAACATGTTTAACCAACTTACAATAGATCAATACTAAAGGGCAACAATAAAGATTTCCCTTTACTGTTCAGACTTAATTGAAGATCTCAATCCAAGATGAAGGTATTGGATATAAAATGTAAACTTGACAGGCAGTAGCAGGCAATGGGTGAGATGGTGATGGTGGTGGTTGGGGTGGGAGCCAATATTGACATGGTCAGGGTACAACACCATGACAGCCTGGTCAGGCCTGGAGTCCTACCCAGCTTTGTCTGATCCAGGCATACAGGCTGCCTTCATACAGCCGTGATATTGAAGCATGGGTGAATTCTGTTTCACGTCACAACACTCAGCTATCACTTTGGCCGGTACAAGCAAAGCCTCGTAAACATGGTAAACCATTGTTTGAAGTAGGAGCAACAATGATGTATAAAGAATTCACATTGTAACCAACCTATAGTCAGTCAATGAGTTGGCTCTTACAACAACCATAGGATACTGGAGGCCTAGGCCCTGAATCACAGTTGGAGGTCAATGATGATGATGACAATGATGATGGTGGCGATGATGACGATGACAATGATGATGATGACAATGATGATGATGATGGTGGTGATGATGATGATGATGACGACGACGACGTAATTGACTATTCATCATGCACATGCAGTCTACTACATACAGGGGAAATCATTCCACACAAACTCCACATCAAGTCCTGGCGTTAGGAGATTACAGGTTTGAAGCAACAAAGCTTGTTCTGTTAGTAAGCCAAGTGCCGAAGTCAATCTAATTTGCCAATATATATGTCTCTGTCAAGATATCTTGTTATGCCAGCGTATAATGCAGAGGAACCTTGTTAGCACAAACCTGAGAGGATCAAAGGTCAACATCATGACATGTTAGAACCGACACCATCCATTATCAACGCCTAATATCATGTAGGATGCATGTTGTGAGGAGGACATTTTCTCTCCCTTGTCTAATAACATGCCTTGTAAAACAAACATTATTTGAACAGATTCTACTAAATGTACAGAAGTAATGTAAATCAGCTTTAACATATTTTCGAAAACAGTTGAACGATCGAGGATGAGTAATTTTTAATATTTAAACAACAAAAATAGGTAATGTTTTTATAAAAGTTCAAAATAATTCAAAATCCATATTCTTGACAATAAGTCCTAAAGTTCCAGATATCCATATCTACAAATACTCTTGTGAAATTGGAAGCTACCCCTTGTCCATTCCAGTAACACAGAGCACAAAGGTCTGGGATTAGGTGCGAGAAGGTTCCACTGCATACATATACAAATAGAGGCAGTATGTAGGTCTGAAACTTATTAATGTATCAGGGAATTACGTTCCTAGTATTGGAATAAAGAACAGATCGTCTGTACCTTGTGATCACAGAGAAGCCGAATATTGGCATTAATATATTGCTAAGCTCACACAATACAAATTTCGTCTCTTCCTTGATATCAATTATTGTCAAGGTGGATTCAAACTTGCAGTTGTGATCACATTGTACAAAATTTTCAAAAATGTCATTGTCAAGTTTTCTATTTCCAAAACTTGAAGGGCACACATGAACATCTGTTCACATATACCTTCAACCAAACAATCAGCCAAACTGACCACTACCAAAAAAGGATAAATAAAACCATTGCTGTCTGGAATGGGGAGTGAAAAAAAAATACAAGTCTCAACATTGTTGACTTCAACAAGATAATTCCAATTGACATTGACTTGAAGCAGCCTATGGTTTCTTCACAAGTGGAGATGGATGACAGCCTCACTGTACACACACACAAAGGGAGAGAACTGCTGGATGTGCCCCAATAAGCAGAGATAACATAAGCCTTATCTTTAACATAGCAGCCTGGCAAGGGAATCAACTAACCAGTGGTCGAGACTGTCAGCATTCTTCCATGCAGTCACAATAAAAAGACACACTCAGCCTTACAAGAATTGAAATCTAGATGTTTACCAAGCCAAGGAAATTAGGACACAATCACCATGTCAGATATAGTAGGAAGTTCTGAATCTTGGAAGCTGAAGTCAAATTATAGGGCATTTGAAGTTGTGCAGTTGTGTCCCTTTGTGTCCCACACACGAACAAACAGGCTAACTACTGGGTGTTAATGAGTAGGTATAGACGTCAGCAAGCTCGCTAGGCTAGCCTCCCAGTCAGCGTTGGCTCTCACCGTAACGTTCACCGTCGTCGTGGTCCTCGGACACGCCCGCTGTTGTGATGAAACACATGACAACGCTCTTTAACAATCGTAGTCTCTCGGGTATAAGCCCACGAACCAAAATAAATACTGAATGACCCTTTGTTAATGCCAGTGAGTGACAGTGCTCCAGATACGAGCCATATCAACATATGTACAGTTATAAAATATATAGATATCGATATTTTAGTTTCAAATGTCGAAATGTATCCAGCAATGCCAACCCTAACTGAAACTTTGGAGCAATCAGTGGGGTTAAAAGAATAATTTAATGTAAAAAAGAGAAATAGTAACAGTATCAGGATGCAGGATTTCACTTCGACTTTTTCTTTAATAATAGACGGAAGTGAAACGTGGTCCATGCTCCACACATTCATCAAAGTCATCATGTGACACAAACTGTCTTTCACAAAGACAAAATAAGTTCCATGTACATGCAATAAGTTCCCTGTCTGCACCCTGAAAGAGTGGCTGAGACTGGCTTAGGCCGCTTTGAACAATATTCAAGTATCACGACTGTCAGCCTAATGTTGGAGGAAAGCCTGAAGTGATGCAGGTCTCAGACATTTGCCATTTTGGTGAAATCCACGAGCACGGGTATGGAGCTGACAAACCTAGAAACATCATCGATGTCATGATTCATCAACATATCGATACATCGCCAAGTTACACAGGACGCTATGATACTTGATACACCTACCCATGTGCCTCTACCAGTCACAAAAATCAACGTGTATGAAATTTTGCTGTAGCCCATCAAGAAATCTACACTGGCTACCATAACCTTACCACCTATCGTGAAACTAACAGCTAAATTTGAAAATACTATTAGAAGTTGAGTTCACATAAACTGGTTGCTAGCAAAACCTTGGGTTAGAAGAGCCACAAGGAACCTTGAGAGTTCTTTTATAAAAAAGGCAATAATTAAACATGGTGATATGTATTGCATGTTGAGAAGAATGTCCCAATATGTCCCAATATGTCCCGACCAGCATAACACCTACTGATGATACAACTTGAAACCCTCATCAGGGTATGTGTACATCACGCAGGAGATAGCCAACTGAATTTTCAGTCTGAAAATGACTGATTTTCTATTAAAAGATAGACTGAACTATTCTTCTCAGCCACCAATTAAAGGAGGCAACAGTATCTGGAGCACTGGACACCTAATGAAACTACCCTACAATGAAAATATTCCAGGGACAGCTAGGAAGAGAAGGTTAAGGTTGGCAATCTACGTATGCAGTTCACTAGAGGGAGCTATGCAATACCTAAAAAAGAACTACCGTTTGCTGTTATTAAGCAAAAATGTCTTTCTAACTTGTTAAATCCTTGTGTTGACCTCAGTGTTGAACACTGTCCTAAAATGCTGGTTTTATTTTTTCATGTTTGTTGTTTAACGCTGCACTCAGCAATATTCCAGCTATATGACAAATAAACGAGTCTGGACCAGGCAATCATGTGATTGATATCATGAGCATCAATCCACGCAATTGAGATACGGTAAAATACATCAACAAAGTCAGCGAGCCTGACCACCCGATCCCGTTAAGACAAGCATAGTCGCCTCTTACAGCAAGCATGGGTTGCTGAAAACCTGTTCTATCCCAGATCTTCACGGGTCCTATGATTATAGTGGAACACTAAACTAGTAAAAGTGAAATAGTATCATGACTATCCTAATGGGATAGTCTCAGAATTTCTGAAATTCATTTATCAAGAGCTAGATTTTCTATTCAACATCCTGATGCTCAAATGATCTGTTAAAACTTGGAATGAAAAGAAGTCTGTGCTAAACACTTTTGAGCCTATTACCAAGAACTCGTCTTCTGGCAACATTTGTAGCAGCTTGTAACCTTATTGTAGCTGAGCTTACTACTAAATAAGTTTTATCATGTTTACAAAACTCAGTCTAATGGCTTAAGACCCAAACGAACATTTTGAAATATGTTCTTGTGACATTAACAAAACAATGCTTATATATTTATTCAGGCTAGCTTTGTTGTTGTTTGGTGTTTTTTGTTTAACGCCACACTCAGCAATATTCCAGCATTATGACGGCAGTCTGTAAATAATCGAATCTGGACCAGACAATCCAGTGATTGATATCATTTGCATCTATCTACGCAATTGGGATACAATGACATGCATCACCTATGTAAGCAAGTCTGACACCTGTTCTCGTTAGTCGCCTCTTACGACAAGCATAGTCGCCTGCAACAAGCATGGGTTGGTGAAGACCTATTCTACCCCGGATCTTCATGGGTCTCAGGCTAGCTAAATCACTGAGTCTAATGAGTTGTTCAGATTCACAGATCTTGTATGGGTCGCGAGATCCTGATGGAGTTAGTATCGTCATCCTGTTTCAGGATTTTAAATAAAATTCACAAAAAAAACAACTATAATTTTACATGAAAAAGCAATACCTTTACAATTCAACTTACACTGCTGCTGTTTCTTATACAAGATAATATTACAACAAACCAAGGACAATGTACAAGGTTAATTGAAGGTCTGAGCAGTCCTCAAATTTCTCTTACAAGAAAAAAACAAATGCATTACAGCGATAGAAACTAACTGTTTTGGTCCACAAGTCCTTATAATGATAACATAAATAATGCCAAATTTCTACTAGTACTTATAATACCTTAACTGTTGTTTTTTTTGGCAAGGACTGTAAGGCGAGTGACAATTTCTATCACTGCATTACATTCCAAACATCAAATTGTTCAGTTTTACAAGTTTTCAAAAATGCAAGCAGAAAACAAAAGACAACTCTTCAAAATAATTCCATGTTAGATTGGGCAGAAATGGGTGATCTCCCCTTGCCTGATTAGAATTACCTCCTTTGAGAACAAGGCTACTATTCTACAGGTGAGGTGAGGTGAAATTGGGTTTAACGTCGCGTCCAAGATTATTGCACTTATATAGCGACGTGCATGCACGTGTATGTGTGTGTGTGGCTGCTTGTACTAGTCCGGACTGATGCCGATTTATAGTGCTAGCACACTGAGATACCATGCCGCAGTTTAACATGAATACCCCACTCAGACACAGTATACTGACTCCGAGCCGACCAGTCCTTGTTTTAGCCCCTTAATGCCGAGCGCCAGACAGGGTAACAACAAGTACAATCTTTTAACGTCTTTTTGTATGACGCGGCCCGGGATCGAACCCTGGACCTTCCGCTCTCCGGGCGGACGCTCTACCACAAGACCACGGAGGCGGTACTATTCTACAGATACAGACAAGTACATGATACTCACTTGACACAATGTTTGGCTTTTTGACTAGGCCGAGGACATCGAGGAGAGACGCTCCCGGTCTTCTTCTCGGGTCTTGTTCCTCATCAACTAAACAAAACAGTAGACAGTCTTAGTCAAATCAGTCTTGGTGCCGTAGACTAGTTAAATATGTTTTGTTTCTGATAATTCTTTTAACACTGACTGGGCACGGAGGGAGCAATAGTGATGAAGGATAGATAGAGTGATGGATGGATGAATGGATCGAGTGAGGGATGGATGGAGTGAATGATGGATGGATGGATGGAGTGATGGATGAATGGATGGAGTGAGGGATGGATGGATGGATGGAGTTAGGGATGGATGGATAGAAGAGGGGTGGATGGATAGATGGATGGTGTGAGGGTTGGATGGATGGAGAGGGATGGAGTGAGGGATGGATGGAGTGAGGGTTGGATGGATCGATGGAGATAGGGATGGATGGATAGAAGAGAGGTGGATGGATTGATTGATGGTGTGAGGGTTGGATGGATGGAGAGGGATGGAGCGAGGGATGGATGGAGTGAGGGTTGGATGGAGTGAAGGAAACATGGATACATGGAAGGAGGGATAGATGGAGTAAGGGATGGATGAATGAATGCATTGAGTGAGTGAGGGATGGATGGAGGTAGGGATGGATGGATGAATGGATGGATGGAGGTAGGGATGGAGTTAGGTTAGGATGGATGGAGAAAGGGATGGATGGATGAATGGATGAGGTGGGGATGGGTGAATGGATGGATGGGGGAGGTAGGGATGGATGGAGGTAGGGATGGATGAATGGAGAGGGATGGGGGTAGAGATGAGTGAGGGATGGATGAAGGTGGGGATGGATGGATGGATGGATGAATGGATGGATGGAAGGAGGTAGGGATGGATGGATGGATGAATGGATGCATTGAGTGAGTGAGGGATGGATGGAGGTAGGGATGGATGAATTAATGCATTGAGTGAGTGAGGGATGGATGGAGGTATGGAGGGATGGATGAATGGATGGATGGATGGATGGAAGGAGGTAGGGATGGATGGAGGTAGGGATGGATGAATGGAAAGAGGGATGGATGAATGGAGGTGGGGATGGGTGAATGGATGGATGGGGGAGGTAGGGATGGATGGAGGTAGGGATGGATGGAGAGAGGGATGGGGGTAGGGATGAGTGAGGGATGGATGAAGGTTGGGATGGATGGATGGATGAATGGATGGATGGAAGGAGGTAGGGATGGATGGATGAATGGATGGAAGGAAGGAGGTAGGGATGGCATGAGGGATGGATGAATGGAGTGAGGGATGGATGGAGGGATGGATGGAGGGTGGGGGGGGGGGGGGGGCCTTATAAATAAAACACAACATACAAGAGTGCATTTCTGCTCTTAGTCAAATATTGGAAACCACAGTCTCCACACTATTGAGATTTTACTTTATCTTCATAAAATCCTTCAGTGCTGGACAAGAAATGTTATTTTATTAACTTCACAAAGGGATTTCTTTTTTCAAAACTTTTCATTGGTGATTTACTAGATTAAAGATCTGCAGGTTTGTCAAGAAAACAAGTCTGTGAACAACGTCATATTTAACAACCACAAAGTCAGACAACAAATAATTCTTTTCTTTCACCCATTCCTTCAAAATAACTCCATGGGTCTCATTATGCTACATATCCAGGTAAAGTTTCATCTATCTTTCTTCTCATGTCATGATAATTTGTAATGCTTCCTTTATGTTTTGTTTGCCAGTAGCCCCTGAGGAGAGGAGAGGTGGTTTTACCTCTGTCCTCTTTGGGTGGTAGTATAGGCTTCTCCTTGTAGCAGGATCGCTTGGTGCAGAACACTAGATGATTGGCTGAAACATACAGACAGAGCAGGACATCACGTGATGAACACATCAAAGGCATATTAACATGACCACATGACCAACATGAGGTTGGATCTATCCAGTATTGAATGAATTAATCTAAGCATTCTCAGAACTAATGTTATATCTTTGCTATAAGTGGCTGAGTGAGAGTACAATTCGACCATACGCTAGTTGAGCGGTAGAACAGATCACTAGAGTGTTCACATCAGCTAGTTGAGCGGTACACCAGATCACTAGAGGGTTCACCATCAGCTAGTTGAGTGGTACACCAGATCACTAGAGTGTTCACATCAGCTAGTTGAGCGGTACACCAGATCACTAGAGGGTTCACCATTAGCTAGTTGAGCAGTACACCAGATCACTAGAGGGTTCTCCATCCGCTAGTTGAGCAGTACACCAGATCACTAAAAGGTTCACCATTAGCTAGTTGAGCAGTACACCAGATCACTAAAAGGTTCACCATTAGCAAGTTGAGTGGTACACCAGATCACTAGAAGGTTCACCATTAGCTAGTTGAGCAGTACATCAGATCACTAGAAGGTTCACCATTAGCTAGTTGAGCGGTACACCAGATCACTAGAAGGTTCACCATTAGCTAGTTGAGCAGTACACCAGATCACTAGAAGGTTCACCATTAGCTAGTTGAGCAGTACACCAGATCACTAGAGGGTTCACCATTAGCTAGTTGAGCGGTAATCCAGATCACTAGAGGGTTCACCATTAGCTAGTTGAGTGGTACACCAGATCACTAGAGGGTTCACCATTAGCTAGTTGAGTGGTACACCAGATCACTAGAAGGTTCACCATTAGCTAGTTGAGTGGTACACCAGATCACTAGAGGGTTCACCATCAGCTAGTTGAGTGGTACACCAGATCACTAGAAGGTTCACCATTAGCTAGTTGAGTGGTACACCAGATCACTAGAGGGTTCACCATCAGCTAGTTGAGCGGTACACCAGATCACTAGAGGGTTCACCATCAGCTAGTTGAGTGGTACACCAGATCACTAGAAGGTTCACCATAAGCTAGTTGAGCGGTACACCAGATCACTAGAGGGTTCTCCATTAGCTAGTTGAGTGGTACACCAGATCACTAGAGGGTTCACCATTAGCTAGTTGAGTGGTACACCAGATCACTAGAAGGTTCACCATTAGCTAGTTGAGCAGTACACCAGATCACTAGAGGGTTCACCATTAGCTAGTTGAGTGGTACACCAGATCACTAGAGGGTTCACCATTAGCTAGTTGAGTGGTACACCAGATCACTAGAAGGTTCACCATTAGCTAGTTGAGCGGTACACCAGATCACTAGAGGGTTCACCATTAGCTAGTTGAGCGGTACACCAGATCACTAGAAGGTTCACCATTAGCTAGTTGAGCAGTACACCAGATCACTAGAGGGTTCACCATTAGCTAGTTGAGTGGTACACAGGATCACTAGAAGGTTCACCATTAGCTAGTTGAGTGGTACACCAGATCACTAGAGGGTTCACCATTAGCTAGTTGAGTGGTACACCAGATCACTAGAAGGTTCACCATTAGCTAGTTGAGCAGTACACCAGATCACTAGAGGGTTCACCATTAGCTAGTTGAGCAGTACACCAGATCACTAGAGGGTTCTCCATCCGCTAGTTGAGCGGTACACCAGATCACTAGAGGGTTCACCATTAGCTAGTTGAGCAGTACACCAGATCACTAGAAGGTTCACCATTAGCTAGTTGAGTGGTACACCAGATCACTAGAAGGTTCACCATTAGCTAGTTGAGCAGTACACCAGATCACTAGAGGGTTCACCATTAGCTAGTTGAGTGGTACACCAGATCACTAGAAGGTTCACCATTAGCTAGTTGAGTGGTACACCAGATCACTAGAGGGTTCACCATTAGCTAGTTGAGCGGTAGAACAGATCACTAGAGGGTTCACCATTAGCTAGTTGAGTGGTACACCAGATCACTAGAGGGTTCACCATTAGCTAGTTGAGCAGTACACCAGATCACTAGAAGGTTCACCATTAGCTAGTTGAGTGGTACACCAGATCACTAGAGGGTTCACCATTAGCTAGTTGAGCAATACACCAGATCACTAGAGGGTTCTCCATCCGCTAGTTGAGCAGTACACCAGATCACTAGAAGGTTCACTATTAGCTAGTTGAGCGGTACACCAGATCACTAGAGGGTTCACCATCAGCTAGTTGAGTGGTACACCAGATCACTAGAAGGTTCACCATAAGCTAGTTGAGCGGTACACCAGATCACTAGAGGGTTCTCCATTAGCTAGTTGAGTGGTACACCAGATCACTAGAGGGTTCACCATTAGCTAGTTGAGTGGTACACCAGATCACTAGAAGGTTCACCATTAGCTAGTTGAGCAGTACACCAGATCACTAGAGGGTTCACCATTAGCTAGTTGAGTGGTACACCAGATCACTAGAGGGTTCACCATTAGCTAGTTGAGTGGTACACCAGATCACTAGAAGGTTCACCATTAGCTAGTTGAGCGGTACACCAGATCACTAGAGGGTTCACCATTAGCTAGTTGAGCGGTACACCAGATCACTAGAAGGTTCACCATTAGCTAGTTGAGCAGTACACCAGATCACTAGAGGGTTCACCATTAGCTAGTTGAGTGGTACACAGGATCACTAGAAGGTTCACCATTAGCTAGTTGAGCGGTACACCAGATCACTAGAGGGTTCACCATTAGCTAGTTGAGTGGTACACCAGATCACTAGAAGGTTCACCATTAGCTAGTTGAGCAGTACACCAGATCACTAGAGGGTTCACCATTAGCTAGTTGAGCAGTACACCAGATCACTAGAGGGTTCTCCATCCGCTAGTTGAGCGGTACACCAGATCACTAGAGGGTTCACCATTAGCTAGTTGAGCAGTACACCAGATCACTAGAAGGTTCACCATTAGCTAGTTGAGCGGTACACCAGATCACTAGAAGGTTCACCATTAGCTAGTTGAGCAGTACACCAGATCACTAGAGGGTTCACCATTAGCTAGTTGAGTGGTACACCAGATCACTAGAAGGTTCACCATTAGCTAGTTGAGTGGTACACCAGATCACTAGAGGGTTCACCATTAGCTAGTTGAGCGGTAGAACAGATCACTAGAGGGTTCACCATTAGCTAGTTGAGTGGTACACCAGATCACTAGAGGGTTCACCATTAGCTAGTTGAGCAGTACACCAGATCACTAGAAGGTTCACCATTAGCTAGTTGAGTGGTACACCAGATCACTAGAGGGTTCACCATTAGCTAGTTGAGCAATACACCAGATCACTAGAGGGTTCTCCATCCGCTAGTTGAGCAGTACACCAGATCACTAGAAGGTTCACTATTAGCTAGTTGAGTGGTACACCAGATCACTAGAGGGTTCACCATTAGCTAGTTGAGCAGTACACCAGATCACTAGAGGGTTCACCATTAGCTAGTTGAGTGGTACACCAGATCACTAGAGGGTTCACCATTAGCTAGTTGAGCAGTACACCAGATCACTAGAGGGTTCACCATTAGCTAGTTGAGCAGTACACCAGATCACTAGAGGGTTCACCATTAGCTAGTTGAGCGGTACACCAGATCACTAGAAGGTTCACCATTAGCTAGTTGAGCAGTACACCAGATCACTAGAGGGTTCACCATTAGCTAGTTGAGCGGTACACCAGATCACTAGAAGGTTCACCATTAGCTAGTTGAGCAGTACACCAGATCACTAGAGGGTTCACCATTAGGTAGTTGAGTGGTACACCACATCACTAGAGGGTTCACCATTAGCTAGTTGAGCAGTACACCAGATCACTAGAAGGTTCACCATTAGCTAGTTGAGCGGTACACCAGATCACTAGAGGGTTCACCATTAGCTAGTTGAGTGGTACACCATCTCACTAGAGGGTTCACCATCAGCTAGTTGAGTGGTACACCAGATCACTAGAAGGTTCACCATTAGCTAGTTGAGTGGTACACCAGATCACTAGAGGGTTCACCATTAGCTAGTTGAGCAGTACACCAGATCACTAGAAGTTTCACCATTAGCTAGTTGAGCAGTACACCAGATCACTAGAGGGTTCACCATTAGCTAGTTGAGCAGTACACCAGATCACTAGAAGGTTCACCATTAGCTAGTTGAGCAGTACACCAGATCACTAGAGGGTTCACCATTAGGTAGTTGAGTGGTACACCAGATCACTAGAGGGTTCACCATTAGCTAGTTGAGCAGTACACCAGATCACTAGAAGGTTCACCATTAGCTAGTTGAGCGGTACACCAGATCACTAGAGGGTTCACCATTAGCTAGTTGAGTGGTACACCATCTCACTAGAGGGTTCACCATCAGCTAGTTGAGTGGTACACCAGATCACTAGAAGGTTCACCATTAGCTAGTTGAGTGGTACACCAGATCACTAGAGGGTTCACCATTAGCTAGTTGAGCAGTACACCAGATCACTAGAAGGTTCACCATTAGCTAGTTGAGCAGTACACCAGATCACTAGAGGGTTCACCATTAGCTAGTTGAGCAGTACACCAGATCACTAGAAGGTTCACCATTAGCTAGTTGAGCAGTACACCAGATCACTAGAGGGTTCACCATTAGCTAGTTGAGAGGGCTATAAGTGGCTGAGGGAGAGTACATTGTACACCGTTTGCCAAGATGAACTAGAGATCGGATTAAGAGAGGGTTAACCATTAGCTAGTTAAGTGTTAGATCGGATCACAGGAGGGTACACCATCAGCTAGTTAAGTGTTAGATCGGATCACAGGAGGGTACACCATCAGCTAGTTGAGTGTTAGATCGGATCACAGGAGGGTACACCATTAGCTAGTTAAGTGTTAGATCAGATCACAGGAGGGTACACCATCAGCTAGTTAAGTGTTAGATCGGATCACAGGAGGGTACACCATCAGCTAGTTAAGTGTTAGATCGGATCACAGGAGGGTACACCATCAGCTAGTTAAGTGTTAGATCTGATCACAGGAGGGTACACCATCAGCTAGTTAAGTGTTAGATCTGATCACAGGAGAGTACACCATCAGCTAGTTAAGTGTTAGATCTGATCACAGGAGAGTACACCATCAGCTAGTTAAGTGTTAGATCAGATCATAGGAGGGTACACCATCAGCTAGTTAAGTGTTAGATCGGATCACAGGAGGGTACACCATCAGCTAGTTAAGTGTTAGATCAGATCACAGGAGGGTACACCATCAGCTAGTTAAGTGTTAGATCGGATCACAGGAGGGTACACCATCAGCTAGTTAAGTGTTGATCGGATCACAGGAGGGTACACCATCAGCTAGTTAAGTGTTAGATCGGATCACAGGAGGGTACACCATCAGCTAGTTAAGTGTTAGATCGGATCACAGGAGGTACACCATCAGCTAGTTAAGTGTTAGATCGGATCACAGGAGGGTACACCATCAGCTAGTTAAGTGTTAGATCGGATCACAGGAGGGTACACCATCAGCTAGTTAAGTGTTAGATCGGATCACAGGAGGTACACCATCAGCTAGTTAAGTGTTAGATCGGATCACAAGAGGGTACACCATCAGCTAGTTAAGTGTAAGATCGGATCACAGGAGGGTAAACCATCAGCTAGTTAAGTGTTAGATCGGATCATGTAAGGGTTCACCAGTGGCTAGTTAAGTGTCACCAACTGTACACTGACCTATCGTATTCCCGTATCGACTGCCGAAGCCACACAGACAATACATGGGTCCTGGCAGCGAGCGCTCCCAGGGTATGTTGAGGCTGAGGCTGGTGATCTGGCCGGAGTGGAAGCCCATCATATGGTTGGCATAGGCAAAACTACAGCTGGTGGCGAACCGGCACATGGAACACTGGATGTACTTCCTGCAAGACATGCACAACATGTTAGCATAGACAAAACATGGATAACAAAACACCACTAATGACAATCATAACCAATATGTGGGACTGTAAGAATATCCTAAATGGCTGTGTAAAAATAGTTATGTAAGAAAGTACTATTCAAAAGGCAACTTGTTCCATTGTTGATCATGTTTCATAATTGGGACAAAACCTGAGTTTTGAATCTGTGTTAGTTAAAAGTGTACTTTTCTGCATTTGCTCCATCCATTCATCACTGACACAAAAGGCAACTTTCATCTGACCCTGAACGAGACACCGTCCAACATCGAATGCATTTTCATTTCACCCTGGACGACACAGCCCAACATCTGACCCTGAACGACACAGCCCAACATCTGACCCTAAACGACACAGCCCAACATCTGACCCTGGACGACACAGCCCAACATCTGACCCTGGACGACACAGCCCAACATCTGACCCTGAACGACACAGCCCAACATCTGACCCTGAACGACACAGCCCAACATCTGACCCTGGACGACACAGCCCAACATCTGACCCTGGACGACACAGCCCAACATCTGACCCTGAACGACACAGCCCAACATCTGACCCTGAACGACACAGCCCAACATCTGACCCTGAACGACACAGCCCAACATCTGACCCTGAACGACACAGCCCAACATCTGACCCTGAACGACACAGCCCAACATCTGAACTTACTTGTAGTGGTCGGTGGTGGCCATGATCATCTTGCACTCGAAGCAGTGGAGTTCCTGAACAGCCCGCGGGTAGCGCAGCCCACGATGCTCCGACACCTTGGACACGGCAGGAGCATTTAGGGACTTCACTCCCAGCTGCTTGGGCTGCAGACCGGACTCCGGCACACGGATCATCACCTGGTCGGGCGTGGTGTACTTGGCATTCATACCTGTCACAGAGAGGAGAGATGCATTACATACTGTAGACATAGTGAGGGAACGTTGGTTTCACAGCAGTCGGCAATATTCCAGGAATATTCCCGCTATATCATGTCAATATTCTAGCTATATCACAGCACTACTACGGCTATATCGTAGCTATATTCCTGCGATATCACAACGATATCGCAGCAATATTCCAGCTATATCACAGCACTACTACAGCTATATCGCAGCGATATTCCAGCTATATCACATCTATATTTCAGTCATATCACAGCTACATCACAGCAATATTCCAGTTATATCACAGCTACAACACAGCAATGTTCTATATTATAGCTATCGTCCAGTCATATCACAGCTATATCACAGCTATACTTCGCCAATATCACAGCTACATCACAGCGATATTCCAGACATATTTATCACTCAGAGGTATATTATTAAGATTTGAAACCTCTGATTGACAAATCAGAATTGATTATTTTCCAAATAGATGGTAGAATTACCTATAACTCCCTTCTGATTTGGCATATGGTCTCTCTTCCGATGAGCCTTGACTTCCTGTGCATTGAAGAATGTGAGCTTGCACAGTTGACACTTTTTGGCATTAGTCTTGGACTGGTGTCGGAGTAGATGGTGGTAGTAGTTCTGAGTCTGCCCCCAGCCCTGGGAGACGAACTTCACGTGGAACACCTTCAGGCAGTACAGGCACAACAGGCACTCCGAGTTCTCGTGCTTCTGCAACACACCATTGTTACCATTGTTATATCAATACAAGTCTAACAGGTTTTGGTTGTGGTTTATCTTTTGTGAAAAAGTCTTGTTTTAGATGGGGGGAAAAACAAAATGTTATTTTTATTTATTTTATTTATTCTATTTATTTGTTTTCCAAAAGCTTATCTCAATATGCTGCCATGTGAGCAGAGTAAGTTAGTCAGTGGAATAAGTTGTGGAAAAGAAACAGGCTTTGACCATATATCATTTTCTTCATGAATAATAACTTCAATCAGGAAGTTGTGATCCTTAGAATGTGTCACGTTATTACATATTCTACAATTTCCAAATGTCAATCATAAACTTAACCCAAGACTGGGTCGGGGAAACTAGTCTAAGGGAAGCAAATCTTGGTCAACTACTTGTTGAGGCCCTGTGGAACAAGTCATCTGCCTACAGAGCTACAACACTAGTCCAGACTGTATTCATTTCATGTAAAGTTCTTGCCATGTGCAAAATATTTCATGTGTCTTTCAAGTGGGCATATCATATGCAAATTAATTATGAGTCAACACATAATTGTACTCAGTGAGTGAAATAATAGTGCTTTTCAGGTTTCGTTTCTTCCTGTTTTAGGGCTAGTGGGTTGACGTAGACCTGGACACAAGTGAAGCAAGATAATAACGGACCTTCTTGAAGTGGTCGACGACATCGCTGTACATGGAGGAGCGGAAGTGGCACAGCTGACAGATATATGGCATCTCACAGGCGTTGTGGTTCTGTCTCATGTGACTTGTCAGGCTCTGGCGGCTCTCATGGTCCTTCTCACAGATGCGGCACAGCAGGACGTTTGTGTTGTTCATGTGCACCTGGCAACAGGGAGAGTGAGTTCATCACCGTGTATCAGCCATATCGCTGTAGGCAGCTTAGTTGGTTAGAGAATGCTGCATGTGTGTCAAACTGCTAGTAGTGAGTTACCTTCTCAATGTGCGTCTGCATCTCGAATGGTGTGTCGAACTGCTTGTAGCAGTGTTTGCACTGGGTGAGATCACTGAGGTCTAGGTTCTGCTGCTTCTCGCTGTCGATGTGACCCTGCATGTGCATCATCGTCTTCACGTTGTTGTACAGCATCTTGGAGCAGTACCAGCACTGAAAGAGTGAGTGAGTGAGTAAGTGAGTGAGTGAGTGAGTGAGTGAGTGAGTGGGTGAGTGAGTGAGTGAGTGAGTGAGTGAGTGAGTGAGTGAGTGAGTGAGTGAGTGAGTGGCAGTATACACTTGATCCTCACCATGCGTACTGAATTGGTCAAACAACAAGGAAGTGCTTATGAATCATAGTTATATGGTTAAAAGTCAATGAGTGACAGAATATTTTCTAATGCCGCAGACAGCAATATTCAAGCCATATCATCAGAGAGACATTAGCTGTGTGTGATCGGCATGAATTGTGGAATGTCTATGTCTCGTATTTATGATGGTAATTGTATATATTGACGTGAAGTGCTCTCTGTGAATAGCGGCCATTTTTTAACACCCGTGTTTGGCATGACCTGTCAAATGTCCATGTGAGTCATTGTGGTATGTAAATAAACCTGCGTACTGAGATTCCTCTTGTGTATTTTATTTACTTATTTATTTTTGGTAATTTAAAGTGTGTTTGAAACGGAAGCGCTGCCATGCAATTGTCTGGTCACGATACTGGGACCGTAAGCTATGGTATCTTCCAGTGATAGTACAAAGGAAGGCTGACACATGCAAGCGTGTGTGTGTGCGTTCACCTTGAACCTGTGTTCCTCCTTCTCCTCCTGGTACGTGGGGTCACCCTCCTTCTTGCCGTAGTAGTACTCATCCAGCGGCACCAGTGTTCCTGCAGCCAACACCAACCAGGACTTTAGTGACAACAAACTCCACCAACCAAGTCAGTGACATTGTGCAACACGAACCACGTTATCAAGCCGGGTCCATGATGTGAGGAGCCACCGCTTCAACCACTGTGAACTCATCATGCTAAACATGGCATTAGCCCAGCTCCGTGTTAACATTAAGGATAGAAACAATTCCACATATGAAACAAAATGTCTGCATGCAAAACCTTAAATAGACAAGAATTATCAAATCAAAAGGATTATTGTCAAAATCATGTTCAATTAAATTATATTCTGTTAAATGTAATTAAACTATTATCAACGAAGACCATAATTTCCAATTCAAAATGACAGATTAAAGGATGACTTTCTGAATTTATCCCCTGAGCTTTGTCCATAACATGATCCTAAGTCCGAAGGGTGTTCCCCACAAACCACCTGGTGATGAATGTCTTACCGATGTCGTCAGCCTCCAGGCGGCGGGGCTTCTTCTTGGGGGGGTTGACGTACTGGGGGTACTGCAGGGGCCGCTTCCCAGGGACCCCCGTCACGTTTGTCACCTGGATCCCCTGGGGCTGGAACTGACCCTGGGGGTAGTTCTGGAAGGAATCTGACATACGGACAAGGATGAGCCAGGGATGAATCCACTAGTGGCAGTAACAGCTCACACATACATAGTGTCAGAAAGTGTCTGACAGAGATACCAGAACTAGTGACCATGAAAATAAACTTGCATTCACACCAAACAGTTTCTTCGTTTGTTCCCAAAAGTTATTTGTAATTCTTCCTACAGTACATTGGTAGACTGAAAGGTGAGAAAGGTCACCACTTTACCAGCTTCAATTGTAGTGAAAGATATGGATAGGACTGGTACATGTTCCTGTAGGTGAGACACGCTTGAGGAAGGCTGCCTACTGACTGAATGTGAGTACCACATGAAGACTTCAGGTATTCTTAATACCAACCCATGATTGACATGGTTGGTTTGTGGTGTAACGCCGCACTCAGCAATATTCCAGCTATATGACAGCGGTCTGTAAATAATCGAATCTGGACCAGTGATTAATATCATAAGCATCGATACACACAATTGGATTCCCATGTGTCTTTTGGTCTTGAAAACTTGGTACATGCTTCATGGTTGAGCTGAAACTGCTACTTTATTATCAAATACTGGAATGACATTGATTGATCTTTGTTTTTCGATTTTCAATTTGGTTCCCTGAGAACACCTACAACATCTGACTAGGAGCGTGGTGTTGCCCCAGGTGAAAGGTGAGTACCTGCTCTCTTTGGCATGAATGGACTCTTCTGAATGTTAACTGACTGGTTGCGGGGCTGCAGCTGGTTGTTGCCCACATTCTGCTGCGGCTGGAACAAGACACACACAACACTAACAAACTCACATCAGAGTCGGAAAGAGTGTATTAGAGTGGCGGTCGCACTGATAAATCATGACGACAAATAAGTCCCTGGTGCCGGGAAGGCCCACTCACAAACCTTATCGTTTTAAAAATATACATTGTGATGATGTATCAGAGTCGAAGTCAGTGATGAATGTTCTTAAGGAAAAAGAATCTGTAGAAACATGTAAACTGAACATGCAAACTCAGTTAATGCCCAAAATGATTAAGAAATTTAAAAGGATGAGTGAGTATGGTTTCATGCTGCTTTTAGCAATATTCCAGCAATATCATGGTGGGGGACACCAAAAAGGGGCTCGACACATTGCACCTATCCTTTTCAATCCAAGAGTGATTGATTATGGTTTTATGCCGCTTTTAGCAGTATTCCAGCAATATCACAGCAGAGAACACCAGAAACAGGCTTCACACATTGTACCCATGTGGGGAATCAAACCCGGGTCTTCAGCGTGATGAGGAAACGCGTTAACCACTAAGCTACCCACCCCCAATCCAAAAGAAAAAGAACATGCAAATTTTCTAGACTGCAACTGCTTATGATCTAGGTTTTGGAGAAATGACATTCCAAAGGGCGCACCTGAACAGCACACATGAGTGAAACAAACTTCCTATCGATTTATATCGCAAACTCTTCACACTCTCCAACAACTCACGACACCTTTAGCCATGACATATGTTTTAAGTTTTCAATAACATAGTTTTCCATACACTTGAATTATTCTTTAAATTCACATCTCATAGGTCACAGACCACGACGACGGAGTTATTCAGACTATCACTTGGTCACACGCTGTACCTACCATGACCTGCATCAAGGGGCGGATAACCCACTGGTTGCCAGTGGCGGTGGTGGTCTGCCCCGGGACGTTGACAAACTTGTACACCTGCTGCGGGGTGGGGTTGAGGAGGCGGGCTGCGTTGGAGACGGCGGGCTGGGCAGCGGCCATCTGCTTGGGGGGGCTCTCTCCAACTATAACTACATCGGCTTGTGAGGCTGTTACATGATCACAATGCTCTAGTCACTTACACTGAACACTCAAGTCACTTACACTGAATGCTCTAGTCACTTACACTGAACACTCTAGTCACTTACACTGAACGCTCTAGTCACTTACACTGAACACTCTAGTCACTTACACTGAATGCTCTAGTCACTTACACTGAACACTCTAGTCACTTACACTGAACACTCAAGTCCCTTACACTGAATGCTCTAGTCACTTACACTGAACACTCAAGTCCCTTACACTGAATGCTCTAGTCACTTACACTGAATGCTCTAGTCACTTATACAGAATGCTCTAGTCACTTATACAGAATGCTCTTGTCACTTACACTGAATGCTCAAGTCACTTATACTGAATGCTCTAATCACTTATACTGAACGCTCTAGTCACTTATACTGAACGCTCTAGTCACTTATACTGAATGCTCTAGTCACTTATACTGAATGCTCTAGTCACTTACACTGAACGCTCTAGTCACTTACACTGAATGCTCTAATCACTTATACTGAACGCTCCAGTCACTTACACTGAATGCTCAAGTCACTTACACTGAACGCTCTAGTCACTTACACGGAACGTTCTAGTCACTTATACTGAATTCTCTAGTCACTTACACTAAACGCCCTCGTCACTTATATTGAAGGCTCTAGTCACTTATACTGAACGTTCTAGTCACTTACACTGAATGCTCTAGTCACTTACACTTAACGCCCTCGTCACTTATACTGAAAGCTCTAGTCACTTATACTGAATGCTCTAGTCACTTATACTGAACGTTCTAGTCACTTATACTGAACGTTCTAGTCACTTATACTGAACGTTCTAGTCACTTATACTGAATGCTCTAGTCATTTACACTAAACGCCCTCGTCACTTATACCATGACATAATGAACTACAGTAATATGACAAAATCAGGCGATCCTTAACTTATTGTGAGTGGTATACTTATTGTGAGTGGTATATGATTGCTGTTTTCAACATTTTGTTGTGAGAAACCATGGAGGCATCGTTGAGGCAAAGAGAGACAACTCTTCCTTTAACAAAACAATCTTGTAAACATAACACTGTTATCAAAACATTTTAAAAATTCTGCACAATGAACTTTTGACGGCCTAAGTAGAACCCACACAACAGGTCTAACATCCACTCACTTGTAGTACTAGGAGACACAGCATTCTGCTGTGGTGCTGTTGCAATCTGCTTCTGCTGCTGTTGCTGTTGCTGTTGCTGCAGCTTCTGTTGCCGTATCTGTTGCTGCTCCAGTCGCATCTGCTCATCCTTCGCAGCCTTGACCTTCCTCCTTGCCTCCTTGTACTCCTCGACCTCGCGCTTGAAGGCCTCGATCTGGGCAGGGAGCAGCTCTTCCTCCTGACACTCCATCAGCAGCTCCACCGTGTCGCTGTACTGACGCCGCAGCCCGTACGATGTCGGCCGACCCTTCATCTCTGGAACAGTAAATACATGGTTAGAAAGGCCAGCCTCCCCATGACCTCCACCACCAGCTCCACTGCGTCGCTGTGCAGGTGCTGCAGAGGCTCTATTCAATGGACCAGTCCTTGTTTTAGCCCCTTAATGCCGAGCGCTAGACAAGGTAACAACAAGTACCATCTTTTAACATCTTTTGGTATGGTTTATTGTTTATTTGTTTACCGCCGCACTCAGCAATATTCCAGCTATGTGACAGCGGTCTGTACATAATCAAGTCTGGACCAGACAATCCAGTGACTGACATCACGAGCATTGATCCAAGCAATTGGGTTTGATGACATGCATCAACCAAGTCAGCAAGTCTGACCACCCGATCCTGTAAGTCGCCTTTTACGACATGCATAGTCGCCTTTTTTGGTATGATGCGGCCAGGGATCAAACCCCAGACCTTCCGCTCTCTGGGTGGACGCTCTACAATTAGACCATGGAGGCTGTCCACTAGACCATGGAGACAGTCCCCAGGAAGAGTCTCTGCTCACTCGACCACGGAGACCATCTCAGGGAAGATGCTCTGTTCATTAGACCAGGGGGTCAGACTCCAGGAAGATGCTCTATTAACTAGACCATGGAGGCAGTCTCCAGGAAGACTCTGTTCACTAGACCAGGGGGGCAGACTCCAGGAAGATGCTCTATTCACTTGACCATGGAGGCAGTCTCCAGGAAGAATCTCTGTTCACTAGACCATGGAGGCAGTCTCGAGGAAGACTCTCTGTTCACAAGACAATGGAGGCAGTCTCCGGAAAGACTCTCTATTCACTAGACCATGGAGGCAGACTCCAGGAAGACTCTCTGTTCACTAGACCAGGGGGGCAGTCTCCGGGAAGACTCTCTGTTCACTAGACCATGGAGGCAGTCTCCAGGAAGACTCTCTGTTCACTAGACCATGGAGGCAGACTCCAGGAAGACTCTCTGTTCACTAGACCAGGGGGGCAGACTCCAGGAAGACTCTCTATTCACTAGACCATGGAGGCAGTCTCCAGGAAGACTCTCTGTTCACTAGACCATGGAGGCAGACTCCAGGAAGACTCTCTGTTCACTAGACCAGGGGGGCAGGCTCCGGGAAGACTCTCTGTTCACTAGACCAGGGGGGCAGACTCCAGGAAGACTCTCTATTCACTAGACCAGGGGGGGCAGACTCCAGGAAGACTCTCTGTTCACTAGACCAGGGAGGCAGTCTCCAGGAAGACTCTCTGTTCACTAGACCATGGAGGCAGTCTCCGGGAAGACTCTCTGTTCACTAGACCAGGGAGGCAGTCTCCAGGAAGACTCTCTGTTCACTAGACCATGGAGGCAGTCTCAAGGAAGACTCTCTGTTCACTAAACCAGGGGGGCAGACTCCAGGAAGACTCTCTATCCACTAGACCAGGGGGGCAGACTCCAGGAAGACTCTCTATTCACTAGACCATGGAGGCAGACTCCAGGAAGACTCTCTATTCACTAGACCATGGAAGCAGACTCCAGGAAGACTCTCTGTTCACTAGACCATGGAGGCAGTCTCCGGGAAGACTCTCTTTTCACTAGACCAGGGGGGCAGACTCGAGGAAGACTCTCTATTCACTAGACCAGGGAGGCAGTCTCCAGGAAGACTCTCTATTCACTAGACCAGGGGGGCAGACTCCAGGAAGACTCTCTATTCACTAAACCAGGGAGGCAGTCTCCAGGAAGACTCTCTGTTCACTAGACCAGGGGGGCAGACTCCAGGAAGACTCTCTGTTCACTAGACCAGGGGGGCAGACTCCAGGAAGACTCTCTATTCACTAGACCAGGGAGGCAGTCTCCAGGAAGACTCTCTATTCACTAGACCAGGGGGGCAGACTCCAGAAAGACTCTCTATTCACTAAACCAGGGGGGCAGACTCCAGGAAGACTCTCTGTTCACTAGACCAGGGGGGCAGTCTCCAGGAAGACTCTCTAGTCACTAGACCAGGGAGGCAGTCTCCAGGAAGACTCTCTATTCACTAGACCAGGGGGGCAGACTCCAGGAAGACTCTCTATTCACTAAACCAGGGGGGCAGACTCCAGGAAGACTCTCTATTCACTAGACCATGGAGGCAGTCTCCGGGAAGACTCTCTGTTCACTAGACCAGGGGGGCAGACTCCAGGAAGACTCTCTATTCACTAGACCATGGAGGCAGTCTCCAGGAAGACTCTCTGTTCACTAGACCAGGGGGGCAGACTCCAGGAAGACTCTCTATTCACTAGACCATGGAGGCAGACTCCAGGAAGACTCTCTATTCACTAGACCAGGGGGGCAGACTCCAGGAAGACTCTCTATTCACTAGACCTGGGGGGCAGACTCCAGGAAGACTCTCTATTCACTAGACCAGGGGGGGCAGACTCCAGGAAGACTCTCTATTCACTAGACCAGGGGGGCAGACTCCAGGAAGACTCTCTATTCACTAAACCATGGAGGCAGTCTCCGGGAAGACTCTCTGTTCACTAAACCAGGGGGGCAGACTCCAGGAAGACTCTCTATTCACTAGACCATGGAGGCAGTCTCCGGGAAGACTCTCTGTTCACTAGACCAGGGGGGCAGACTCCGGGAAGACTCTCTATTCACTAGACCAGGGGGGCAGTCTCCGGGAAGACTGTTCACATGGCCACAGAGTTAGTATCCAGGAAGATGCTCTAATCACTAGACCAGGGAGGCAGTCTCCAGGAAGACTGTTCACATGGCCACAGAGTCAGTATCCGGGAAGATGCTCTTTTCACTAGACTGTGGAGACAGTCTCCGGGAAGACTCTCTGTTCACTAGACCATGGAGGCAGTCTCCAGGAAGACTCTGTTCACTAGACCACAGGGACAGTCTCTGGGAAGACTCTCTGTTCACTAGACCATGGAGGCAGTCTCCAGGAAGACTCTGTTCACTAGACCACAGGGACAGTCTCTGGGAAGACTCTCTGTTCACTAGACCAGGGGGGCAGACTCTGGGAAGATGCTCTATTCACTTCATGTGAACAATAACAGAAACAGTTCAACAACCAACTTACGCAGATTCTCTAGTATTTCATGGATGGACATGAATAGCACGACATTCACATTGCCCTCTACCAATATGTTTCTGCACTACAATATCCCAACTGTGACATTTAATAACAATTGATTAGGGTTTGTGATTCACCTGCAAAAAGAAAGAATTTCAACTTGGGAAATATACGAATTGTATCGTATCCACAGTATCGAGATATATATCGTATCTCACACACCGTATCATTACACCTTCACTACGACCACATCTTCAAAATGTCAAGCCATGCGGGCACTGTAGCTCACCTGGATAGGCAGTCAACAATTCAAAATGACAACAAAGACAATTAAAAGAAGTTGATGACATCATTGCTATTCAAATGTTTTCAGTGTATATACTGAGGACTAAAACAAACAAACTGATTTGAACAAAATATAACGTCATCATAAGGAGAAACATAAATTAAAGTTCAGCTTCCTCAGTCTGTCAATTTCAGAGGAGGAACAGTTTACACAGCCAATATGCCTTTGGGAGAATTTAAGAGCATGGTCAAAACATGGTCAAACTTCCTGATTCTTGATCTGATCTAATTGATTAACTATGGTAACAGTACACTTTGTCACAACATGACATGTATCTTGATTACCTGATACAGAGTTGAAATTCTTTGTATTGGGAGTGGCAATGGCATGATCAAAATACTAATGTCAGTTCCTGGTGCCTTAACACCACACACAGAAATCATATTTCTTTTTACATATATGCATTGTGAATATGTTTGTTGTATAAGGCAAGTGATGAATATACTTTTGCACAAATAAATGAGAACAAGACGTTAGAAATGGACCTATGAACATGCCAAACTTCCCAAATAAAACTGATCATTATCTAGGTGATGGAGTTCCAAGGAGCCCACCTGAAAACTTTGAGAGTGCCCCATGGCACACTTGAGAAGTCCAAACAGATCTTTGAGTTGCACTCCATGCATCAGAGAATAACCTAACAACCAAACACTTGTTTTGAGCAGTGGGCATTGAACTGAACTCACACTGATATGGGACTGATATGGGACTGATATGGGACTGATATGGGACTGATATGGGACTGATATACACTTGCAGAGGACATACACACATCTTCTTACATTGTTGGACGTAAAGTAAAGGAGTCCTTGTTGTAACACTAGTATAAACAGCTAAAGATTCATGGGTTTTCTAAATTTATATTCTAAGACATCCAACTCCAAGAACCTCCCTCCACCCTAATTTTAAGACTGCAATACAATACTTGTCTGCATAGAGAGATGAGGCACCATCATTATTGGTCTGGAGAATCCAGTCTCAATGAAGGATCATGACTTCTTCAGCCAATTAAATGTCAGCTTTCCTGATAATTCGGCCTTATTTCTTTACCTCGATTTGGAGATTTCAACATCAGCAAATGAAACTTGCTACAGAACAAATATACCCTTGAAAGTACCCCCTTTTGTGTGCTGATGCCCTGGCAAGCTGTATCAACAATAGAAGAGTTTTATTAATATTTTTCGCACTTGTAACACTCTGATTATATTCGTTTTCGAGAAACGCTTCAGAGATGCTTGTCTGAATGCTTCACTCACTCGTACTGAGAATTTGGAAGCCTGGATGCTGATTGGCTGATCAGAAAGTCCACCTGATACAACGTCCCATAGATATGTCCTCAGAATGTCACACAGAGAGGTATTGTATCTCAATAAAAGGTCTGATTTTAATGTGACCAAGTTATACACATCGGTTATCTTGCAATTTCTCCCTGAATACAGGGTTGCTCTGTCCCAAGTTTCTAGTCCACAAAAGATGGTGAACAGTTTTAGATGACAACACCAGTCCATTCAATAGATCAAATTGAGAGGTGAAATATTAGTAAATGTGTTAAAGAAGTGAACCAACACGTGAGGAACTGGTGCATTAAAGGTGGTTAGTATAACAAAAACACAAGACTGATCCCAAGAAAAGAATTCAACCAAATTCCTACCTTTTGATTTTGGAAGTCTAACTCTCAAACCACTTGACATTATAGAAAGCTGTCTATACTCTCACACACAATGTTCAAATGTACCAGTTTAACTAGTATATGGATGGGGCTTAGCCTGTAGGGGCTGAGTCATGAATAAGGCGGACAGACTGAGCCAGTCGCGGAAGAACTTGTCTAGGTGAGTGTGGACGTGTTGTTTGATTGGGCAGATGCCTGATCACAAATTGTCAGTCTTATTCCTGACACAATTCTGATGTAACACTGGAACAACCAAACAAGAAATGTATTATTGCATCAGACATTACAATGACATTAACAAGATTAGAACAAGCAGGTCAGAGATGTTTGCCACTATGGTGAAATCCACAAGCACGGAACTGGTGCTGACGGACCTAGAAACATAATCTGTGCAAATCTGGGATTAATCATTAATGATGGGTTTGTGGCATGCCAAAGGGAAGCAACTCTGCACGGACCAACTGAGACACCTGTATCACCATATTGATGATCATCATACTTCATAGAGAGTAATGTGAAGGAGGAGGATGACATAGAGCAGTAGACCCATGAAAATCTGGGGTACAATAGGTCTTCAGCAACCCATGCTTGCCGTAAAAGGCTACTGTGGTTGTCGTTAGAGGCAACTAACGGGATGCATGTCATCATATCCCAATTGTGTGGATCGATGCTCATGATGATCATTGGACTGTCTGGTCCAGACTTGATTATTTACAGACTGCCGTCATAAAGCTGGAATATTGCTGAGTGTGGCGTTAAACAACAAACAAACAAACAAAAAATAGTGCAGGAGGATACTCCCTATCATGTGCTCCTCAGTAGTCAACAGCTTATTTGTTTGTTTGTTTGTTTGTTTGTTTGTTGTGAACAAATGATATTGAGAACAACAATCCACACTGACAAGATATGATGACATGCTATAAACCAAGTCATTTACTTTTCTAGAAAGTTCTACATGCTTCATTACAGCAGGGATTGTGAATCAGAATTAAATATATTTAAAGAAGGGAAACTATGTATCAATGATATAAGTAACACATACCACACATGCTACAAGGCCTTCTTTACTTGCTTCACGGATGCAAATTTTCACAAATGTGCAATAAAAGTGAAATTGTGAGAACAGTCCTTTCTACATTCCATGCATGTGAACTTATTTTGGTCTTGACAAGAATTTAAAATGGGACTAGATCGGAAGTGTAGTAACCCGTTGACTGGAGCAACGTCCCATGCTGCAGGGGCAAGACACCAAGTCACTATGAGCCAAGTACTGAGTCAGGTCCCCACAAGGGAGCTTACTCTAAAATAAAGGAATGTGTATGCTGCAATCTGATTGGTCAGAGAATGTGACAAGGGATGTGATCCTAGAAATTCTTTGGCTTGGTGAAATGGATGCCACAATAACTAAATATTAGCTTCATCAATATATATAAGAACAACTTTGATTTATTCTGTGTTTTTTCCTTATTCTGTTAACCAGGGAAAATCAATTATTACAAAGAAGCATGTTATCCATTGTATCATGATGTCATAGAATTCCAGACGGAAATTTGATATCACATAATGTTTAGTTTCTAAGTATGCAGTCACAGCTGCTTGTTTCAGAAGCACTAACAAACACTTCTTCAACTGCCTGCACTAAACTTTAAGCATTTTGTTGATTGGATGGTTGGTTGGTTGTTTAACGCCGCACTCAGCAATATTCCAGCTATATAATGGCGGTCTGTAAATAATGGAGTCTGGGTCAGACAATCCAGTGATTGATATCATGAGCATCAATCCACACATTTTGGGTCCTGCAGGTATGTTGCAATATTAAAATCAGACCCCATTACTTAATTTTGACCATGACAAGGACTCTTGACTTCCAGTCTTAATTTGGGTCACCTAAATACTGTATATGACTGTAGATAGGCCAATCTCAAAGTTAAGCCAAGGTATGACTTGATCCTTGAAATTTGTATCAGAATGGTATTTTCGCATCATGATCAACAAATCTGAATTGAATTACGCAAGTTAGTCCTGTTGTTACACTATCTGGTAATAAAGAAAAGTGTTCATTGTATATCTGGACTGGTGACAGGACAGGTCAAATTGTTCCCTACATAAAAAGTATCCGACAAAATACAGTGAATGCTACCACACATGCCTGGTCATTATTATTTTAAATATATAGAGTAACACCAGCACTTAAATACAACAATATCAGAATATATTATTCAGATACCATTTTTTCAAATCATTGCAAAAAAATTCTTTTCTGATATATTATTGGGTATGTCTTAACTTAATCACGGGTAAATTGGGAGAATATGTATGTACAGATGATTGCTATTCCGGCTCAATACAAGACAATACACGCGGTAATCTTAATCCCTGCATATAAAACAATGCCTAGCAGGACAGGAAATGCAAATGAATTGGTAAATCATCATGTCTAGTGATGTGAAATCGCTAATTTCACATTTTCATTGACATAGTTTGTTATTGCATTGTTCGTTCACCTGAAGCGATATGATGTACTTTATTTACCAATAGAAGAATAGTTTGATGAATGTGTAACCTTTACATAGGCCGCCCCCTTTCTTTTGAGTCTTTTTTCTGGTTCTCCAAATCTGGCTTATCTACAGTCATATATATGGTTCAATACCCAGCTCACTCCATATAGGTCGGCTTTCACAGCATGGCCTCCTGGGAACACCGTCTACCCTGGCTCCCAGTCAGGGCTAACTAACACCATGATCTCATGCTCCTTATCAACATGTACGAGGGGACAGTTACACAAACCAAGAAAGCAGTCTCTGATAGATATATTCCCCATTTTTGTATCATTCTGCTCACTATTATAATATACATTGGATGAGAAGAAAATAAAAATACAGGGTAGTTTGCCTTTATATTGTGATGTGTTGCAATGATCAAAGGCATCTTTGAAAGACAAACTGTCATTCCAGATAGTGCTCCAGCAAGTCATAGTTCACATGCAGCGCTCATATATATATATTGTGCTTACCTGAAGTGGACAGCCCAGGGGAGTAGGCAGAATCTCCCTCGATGGAGAACCGCTTGGCCCCGCTCTTCTGCCGGGCGGACCGGGTGCGTCTCCGGGACGGCATCTGCAACAGCAACATCACAGTGGTGACCCACAGCAACATTACGGTGGTGACAGAGCAACATCACAGGGTTGACCTACAGCACCATCACAGCGGTGACCCACAGCAACATCACAGGGGTGACCTACAGCAACATCACAGGGGTGACCTACAGCAACATCACAGGGTTTACCCACAGCACCATCACAGTGGTGACCAACAGCAACATCACGGTTGTGACCCACAGCAACATAACAGGGTTGACCGAAAGCAACATCACGGTGGTGACCCACAGCAACATAACAGGGTTGACCCACAGCAACATCACGGTGGTGACCCACAGCAACATAACAGGGTTGACCCACAGCAACATCACGGTGGTGACACAGCAACATCACGGTGGTGACACAGCTATATCACAGGGTTGACCCATAGCAACATCACGGTGGTGACCCACAGCAAAATCACAGTGGTGACCCACAGCAACATCACGGTGGTGACCCACAGCAAAATCACGGTGGTGACCCACAGCAACATCACGGTGGTGACCCACAGCAACATCACGGTGGTGACCCACAGCAAAATCATGTTGGTAACCAACAGCAACATCACGGTAGTGACACAGCAACATCACAGGGTTGACCCACAGCAACATCACGGTAGTGACACAGCAACATCACAGGGTTGACCCACAGCAACATCACGGTAGTGACACAGCAACATCACAGGTAAGACCCACAGCAATTGTACCATGACAACTGTCAGTCCGTTTTGTAATACATATGACTGGTCCAGTTTTGATTTCTATCCTTAAACATGAAAACTGAGGCGAACCATTGCAAATGTTTTGAGTACAACCATACCAATAGTATAGTCAATGATATGCATTGATATTTCTTCTCTGCATCCATTCCATACCTTTGTGCGTACTGGACTTGCATGGCTGCACTGTGTTAAACCCAGCTATAGTTAGTATGTTTGTCTTTACAATGCTCTTTCCAACATACTATAGACAAAATATCAACCCTAGGTATGAACAGGAATGTGGAAATAAGAAAAACATTCAATTGTTTTGGGGCAAGTAATTACATGGTGATCTTCCAGAATTTATTTAGTACGCTCAACATACGAAAATCTACGGAAAATGATTCCAAAAGACAAATTGGGGCTAGTCGACTCAGGAGTGTTTGACGAAGACCTGTTTAATGTGCCGAGGTGGGCTAGTCTAATGTGCCGGGGGAAGATACTGAATAGGAAACTTGCAATGGAGACTGGAAACAAGAGATGCTTACTTTGGGCTGATGACCAGAATCTCTGGAAGACAGGCAGGTAACCTCTCAGTGAAACATTCCTCCAGGGGTTATCTCCTCTTGATTTCCCACCATGCTTTCTTGTAACTGCAATACAGTAAAGAAATAGCCTAGAAAACAGTTCTTTTCGCTGAGGAGGTTAAACAAAAATGTGTTTCTAATTGAAGAGTGCCACAGGGCAGTGTCAACTGATAAAGATGTTCAGGTACTTAAGGTGAATGCCACTGCACCAAGGCTAGACAAAGCAGCTACAATGTAACTGAAAGTTAGTCCATTCCTTTGTATTGAGACGGACAATAATTGTTTTCATGTCTGAATTCCTAAAATAACTTGCTGTGCATTAAACATATTCACATGTCCACTTTCCATGTCCGTCCCATCAACTGTTTCAATAATACAATACACACTGTCACATGGTACTGTAGTTAAAATAATATTTCTTATGCTCTTCAGGCAACATGAACTTATTTTAACTAAGCCATCAGAACTGAAAACAAGGAATTCGCACCCTGATTTGCATGATTCAACTAGCCAGCTACAAGACTTTATTTAGTCAAATGCCCTTTGAAACTTCTATTTTCCTGAAGCTTGCATACACTTCCAGCACTTAACATGCTTGATGGAGTCTTAACTATATTGAAACACTTCGATTTTTTCGACATATTTGGCAAAATGGCCACAAAAGTCAAATAAAGTTGTTCTGGGTATTTAGGCATGAGAAAATCAAACACAACAATGCCATCAGGCAGGTTTGAATCTCATTCGATGTGTTTCCCGTTGGACAAATACACATCTTTTCAGTTTTCTAGTTATGCATTTTCATTGTGTCAGTACACAAACATTAGTGTCGCAGGTACCCAAACACAAAAAAACATGTACATCATTCGTGACGAACTCGTATTATTCCGGGACAAGCCGAATAGCGACTCATGCCCCTCTCATGGCCATTTTTGCGACCGGGTTCCGTCTTAGCGCAAATGGGCCTACCTAAAACAATTGTCAATTCGTGGCATAATGGTTCACACATATTTCCCCGTATATTATATATATTTCAAATGCAATTTAAAGCACATCTGGACATGCGGAGTTATACAGTATGTTTGAACATATTTAACTGTGTCTTGGGTGTATTTTTAGATGCAAGACATATGAAAAATTAAATATTATTTCTGAGGGATTCTTTGACGAAGAACTTGAAACCATACGCGCATTCTGATTGGTTTGTCGTATTTTCACACATAACATTCATCGATAGGGGGATGAGTCTTCTCGCAGGTTACGGAAAAAGGGGTGAGTAGTGACGAATGACATGTACATGTGGCAAACGTGTTTGGTGGGGTCCCAGGTAAGAATAGGTCTACAGCACTTGTCTGAGGAGGTGACTAAAGTAGTTACTTGGTTTAGTGCATGCATGTCACCGTACCCTGACGGCTTGGAATGTTGTCCATAATATCAACCAATGGTTTGTCTGTCCCAGGCTCCATGCTGTGACATAATGCTAATACTGCCGAGTGCAGGGTAAAACAACAAAGAACAGGATTCAGGACTTTAAATTTCTTGGACTCTTTTCTTTGTCACAACACATGCATAGTTTTGTTAATTACATTTTTTGGCAGTCCGGATGTGACACACATATGGTGTGTGATGAGGACATGAGTGAAAGCTTTAACCATTAGCTACCCCAGCCCTTTTAGGCTGTTAATACACCAGGTGAAATCAGGCATGTCCAACAACCACTGGAGCATGGCAATAAAGAGAGATTAGTAGAAAAGTGTTTCTGTACTGTAAATATCATATTAGGAATAAAAAAAACATATTATGCGAGCCTTTGGTGAAATCCACAAATTGTTGAGGTAATAATTTCTTTATCACCTAATGTCATGCTTACAATAAAGGATGTTTAAGATGTACTTTCACTCAATGAAGTAGCTTTATCATATTTGAGTGAATCACCCAATTCATCATACCGTACTTGCTGCCATGTTTGTCTTCATGTTTCTGTGACACTGTGGAAAACTCCTATCTAAGCATATTGTGATATATGTATCAGATCATGATACCGAGTTCATCGGACTGATTTATTGCATCAATAACACTAGCCTTTATATGATAATTTCTATTATCAGGTTTTAAACTTCACATTCACATCACTAAAGAAACAGAACATATTTACACAGGACGAGGGTGTACGAGGCTCCCTTGTAATGGCAAACTGTAAAGTAGCTGAACAATTAGAAACATTGGTATGAAGCTAAAGACATGTTCCAATGGTTGACACCTATCTCTTTTCTTTCTAACACTTGAAAGTTTTGGAATTATGACATAATCAAATACATAGTATGGATTAAAATGAAAGAAAAGGACAATTGTTCTAACTTCAAACAAAAAACTAAGTATGAGCAAGTCTGTGACCCAAGATGATTTTTTTATCATGTAGTCATAAGTCCCAAACATGCAACAACTGAACTGAACAAAGTCTAATTCTCATTCATAGGAACACATCTAACTAATAACTGATGTTACTGTATTGTAGAGGAAACTTTTACTTTTCTTATACCAGGACCAATAAACAGAAAGAGGCTTCAATGTTTACTGATATATAACTGCATTGAATGCAATCACAAAATACAATGTTAAAATACATCTGAACTCCAAAAAAATATGAACATAAAAACATTCTTCTAATCTGGAACAAAATGATAATTTTTTCCTCCAAATTTGCCTGCCAGGGACACTAAAGTCTAGAATTCTTTACAAATACCTGCAAATGTTTCAATAATAACACATGTCACTCCTAAATATCCATTATTTGACTATGGCCCATATCATAGAAAAATAAAACCCTTTGCACTTTACAATATTCGGCTGATATTAGGTTCATATTAGCAACATTGTTTATTACAGATTGAAAACATTAAACAGGTTAGAAAATATGACAAAATATCGAGGTCTTACAATTGTTTATGTTTTGTTTAGCGTACGAACATACATGTTGATACACAACTAGTCATAACACATGTCTGAGAAAACATCTTTCTGTTCTAAAAATAGCCCGCATACAACCCGAGTCGGTAGTTGCCCAATATCAAACCGACTTCTCCGTGACAAATCAATAAATGAGCAGTATTAAAAACCCTCTATATGTACATGACTGTCATGCACTTGCCGTGAAAACTCATTTTTAATGAAATCCCACAGATATGTTGTATATTATCATAACACACCGTCCAAGATGGCGGACGTCTGACTACCGTAATAAAGCAGAATAAACAACGGGTTTCAGATGCTTCCTTTCAAACTCAAGCAGCTTGCATGTTGTAGCGCGATTTCTATACTATGAGAAACGCTTCTTTGAAATGCACAAAATCAATAATACATACATGTTTTTCCTAATATGAAGCCGGTGTCACAAGAACTACAACTCCTGCATGTCTATATCAAACGTCACGTGACCACATGTGCGCGAAATTGCAAATGAAATATTTCGTTTCATAAGGGATGCGCTAATGTGATTTATTGTTACGAAAAACATATCTTTTTATGCAGATTATATGTCAGATTATCTTTGCTATAAATATCATTCCAAATAATTTGTAAATTGACTTTGTTGTATGAAGAGCCGTTCTGCTATCGAGAGTATTTTCCAACAAGACTATTTTCCTTACGTTAATTCCTATCATTCCATGCTAACTGGGTATTCTGTTGGAAGTTGTTCCCAAGAAGCGCTTTTACAACACATTTGATCGGAAATAAGAATTCATCATTTCCATGTGACCAGTAATGTGATTAAACATAAATTAACACTGTCAAAAGTGGAAAGACAAAGTTACTTTGTCAAATACATCCATTATCATGATGTTAAAAATGTTGTAAAAATTAGTGAGTGGGGTTTAACGCCGCTTTCAACAGTATTCCAGTTATATCGCGGCGTGTCAGCTTAATGTGGGAGGAAGGCCCCAAGTGATGCAGGTCTCAGACGTTTACCACTTCGGTGAAACCCACGAGCACGGCATATTGCTGACAAACCTAGAAACATAATCGGGGCGAACCGGGACTCGAACCCACAATCATAGGTTTCTGGCGTGCCCAAGGGACGCAACTCTGCACAGCGAATCGCGGCGCCTTAGACGACTGGGCCACCCGTGCCCCCTGTAAAAATTAAGATTCTGTATATGAAGAACATTCTAAATCTGTTTGGGATTTTACTTTGAGGTGGTTTATGGTGGTGGGGCGCATACGGGAGGTTATGGTGGCGGGGGACCCACACGGGAAAGAAAGATCGTGAAAGCTACCTACCGTTTGAATTGAGGCATCTAGAAATTTCGAATTCTAAATGAACACAGTCTCAGGTTACAGTATGACAACACAATCTCAGGTTACAGTTTGACAACACAGTCTCAGGTTACAGTATGACAACACAATCTCAGGTTACAGTATGACAACACAGTCTCAGGTTACAGTATGACAACACAGTCTCAGGTTACAGGATGACAACACAGTCTCTGGTTACAGTATGACAACACAGTCTCAGGTTACAGTATGACAACACAGTCTCGAGTTACAGGATGGCAACACAGTCTCAGGTTACAGTATGACAACACAGTCTCAGGTTACAGTATGACAACACAGTCTCAGGTTACAGTATGACAACACAGTCTCAGGTTACAGTATGACAACACAGTCTCAGGTTACAGGATGACAACACAGTCTCAGGTTACAGGATGACAACACAGTCTCAGGTTACAGGATGACAACACAGTCTCAGGTTACAGGATGACAACACAGTCTCGAGTTACAGGATGACAACACAGTCTCAGGTTACAGTATGACAACACAGTCTCAGGTTACAGGATGACAACACAGTCTCAGGTTACAGGATGACAACACAGTCTCAGGTTACAGTATGACAACACAGTCTCAGGTTACAGGATGACAACACAGTCTCAGGTTACAGGATGACAACACAGTCTCAGGTTACAGTATGACAACACAGTCTCAGGTTACAGGATGACAACACAGTCTCAGGTTACAGGATGACAACACAGTCTCGAGTTACAGGATGGCAACACAGTCTCAGGTTACAGTATGACAACACAGTCTCAGGTTACAGTATGACAACACAGTCTCAGGTTACAGGATGACAACACAGTCTCAGGTTACAGGATGACAACACAGTCTCAGGTTACAGGATGACAACACAGTCTCAGGTTACAGGATGACAACACAGTCTCGAGTTACAGTATGACAACACAGTCTCAGGTTACAGGATGACAACACAGTCTCAGGTTACAGGATGACAACACAGTCTCAGGTTACAGGATGACAACACAGTTGTCCGGTGACCGGCCTAGCTAAACGCGAGGCCACCATCTGTGCCTATCCATCCCAGCTGGCCTGGCCGTTATACAACGATAAGTAGTTAACGGCAACATGCACACACGATGTTCATTCATAAACTACTGGGACATGCAAGGATGGCCTAATTGTCTATAACCCACAATTAGAGACCATATATCGGTGTTGGGTATCTGATGGGTGTTATGGCTAAAAATGGGACCGCATCATAAGGGTACCAATATTGCCAAGTCGGTACCTCGAAAACGACACTGTAATACAATACTATGTATACGAGCTTTCTGGAGGAGCCCCCCCCCCCCCCCCCCCCCCCCCCCCCCTATTTACATCTGATGCCATTTGTGTGCGCACTGCCTACCATAATAACACGTTGATTTGGTTGCTAAAGTAAAATTAATAATGGTTTACATAAAATGTTTGTGACTTGACTTTTGGGGGGTAGGCTTGGGGGGTCGCCCCCACTCGACATCCCCCCCCCCCCCACACACACACACACACCCTTCACACACACACGCTCTGATATATATTCACAACTAACGTCTAGTCTCAAAAATAATTATTTTTCAAAGAAAAAAAACAGCTGTTGAATAATCTTAAAACAATATAATAAAAAGGAGCCCATGCAGAGACTCTCTTCATTTTATGAAACTACAGTAATTTGGACTTTCATGGGCTCTCTTGTATATAGTTGTTACAGGGTATGTAAGACAGACAAGGTATTTGTATTTGATGCTATATAAGTTTATGAGTTTATTACAGGAATAATTAGCGGTATCACCCTCATTCCTTCAGATTACCTGTCATTACATAACAAGCGCGTCTGTTTATTGCGCTACGATGAATGACAGTCAGTAATTCCATTTGGACATTTATCTTATCGGGGGGTCATTTTAGTCAAATATTGGGTTATAAATAGAGATTATTATAAGTACACGAGCTTGTTTCATACGGATTGTACGACAGAAGTGTCAGAATTCTTGTATTTCCTGAGCGAGAGTGAGGGTTATTCATAAATTCTTTCATGAGTTTCGTAAATAGAGAAATTATACTCGCGTGTGTCACACTGACTTTAGGAAAGGAGTGTCAGAATTGTTGTCCTTCCCGAGTGAGAGCGAAGATAATACACGACGTCTTACACGAGTTTCGCCAAGACATAACAAAATTTCTACAACACAGTTTTATTTACAAGTTGACAAACTATTATAACATAAATATAAAAAAAACATAATTCCTTGTCCAGTTCACTCAAATGTCCCCAGCTTGAAGTTATCACAGATAAACACGGCTCTAATCAAGTCGGATCTTCTTTGACATAGACTGCACGAGAACTGGTTGAGTGTCTTTCTTCCATCAGCGTGAAAGGATTACCCACAGAGAATGAAAGGATAAATGGTTTGTCATTCACACCCCATTTCGTCTGATAGACTGTTACCTTTGATATCCCAAAACACCAATTCTCGGCATGCTGATTAGGCAATGGTTCACATCACACACCCTAAAGTGAGCATGTCTACATGGTCACACCCGCAGAATGTTGAGATCACAAATCCTAATTGTTAAGAAAAACAACTACTGAAAATACATCGTGAGTCTCCCACCAAAATTCATCTTTAAAAAATGAAAACAGCGTCGAGAAATGTCCATCTTCCCGTGGCAGGGGAGTTTACTGGCTGTAAAAGTCTAGTTTCCACTTGTCTTTTACAGTCAGTTAATATCACATACCCTAATGGGAGGATGTCGTACTTGTCTGGACTTAATCATAGTCAACATACGTTGAATAGACACTTACCTTCCTTGAAAAAATATGCACATTCACATACATACAGTTAAAAATATGGCAAACGTGTATCTATAGACGAATTATTATGGCTATTTATTCTTACATGTGCATGTATATTGACACGTTTATTTATTCAGTATATCATATATAACACATTTCTTATCCGTATGATTAGGTCTCCAGTATTGACGACGTTCTGTTGTACTCTTATGTAAACATCCTTTGTTATAATATCTCTTTTAATATTATTTGGTCTTCTAAAATGACGTTGGAATACAATAGATACAAACTAATACTTAGAGTTTATTGAAACAATACCATATACCGTGTGTTCATTTCTATGAAGATATATGAAGAAGCCATTAATACTAACCGCCTTTCAAGAACAATCGTTCACTATTTAACCTGACTTACATATTAAGTTCAAACCAGTTACTTGTATTTACCGTAAACGACAAATGCGGGTATATATTTTAAAGATACGAAATAAATTATCCCCGATGGGTCAGTAGACGTCTGTGTATTGTGAACGGTATTGTACGTAGTTGCGAGGAAGGTAGTATTACTGACTCGCCGGTTGCAAGTTAGTATGCGAGCAAAGTCCACATGTTGGTAGTGTTGACAATTTGCAGCGTTTGACAGCTGAACGCTGATCGCTCCCCTCAGATCACAATGGCCGAGGCCAGAAGCGCAGTGTCCGAACCAAGAGTCAGTAAATTTGAGGAAGATAAGACCACAGCACCAGACGTTTTAGATGCATGGCGACGGGGGCTCCTTAGACGTTTCTTTAGAACACGGTAAGATTCTAACTCCCCACATTTCTTAGAAATTAAAGTTTTCAATCATGATAAAACCCATGCGATTTGGAGATGTGACTGACAGGTGTCAATTTCACATCTTGTAGCAGATGTTCGTATGTTCGCCGGTATAGCTTAGTTTGTGTCTCCGGTTACACGCGAATATGGAGACCAATGGGACGTATTTGTATGTGGCTATTGATGGTATAGGTTTAGATGTTGATATACCATATCATGGGTATATTGGCATTAAGTATGATACAGGGGTACAATGAAGTATTTTGCAGCTGAATACAATAAACATTCATTAGGCTAGGCCACATACTAATAACGAAAACAATCATGTTGGCAAGACATGCAAAAGTCGAAATTAAATTTTATCTTTTTCCCAACATCTCCAACCTACAGTTACAGTTGTACTAATTGAAAACAATATTAAGAAGTAGAGATTATGTTTCTGTGGTCTTTATCACAAAATTTTGTTATTAACAGAATATTGCTGCTAGTCCGAACAGGCGGCACCATGATGTGAAATTTTGGAATGGAAACTATCTTAAAAGATGTGGAGCCAGAACAAGATTTTAGTTTTAATATTGTGTAAAAGGTTTATGGTTGGGATGTATTTGGGGGTTGTCTGGTTATTTTGTTTGTTGTAGTTTAATGCCACACTTAGCAATATGCCAGCATTATGACATCGGCCCAGTAATAATCAAATCTGTCACAGACGTTCCAGTGATCAAAATTGTGAGCAACGATCATTGATGTTGGGGTACTCAGAGACGCTATCAACCAAGTCATTGTGCCTGACCACCCAATCCATTTGGTCGTCTTTTATAACCAGCATAGGTTGCTGGGACCTATTCTAACCTGAAATACCAACCGGGAACTGTTTTGTTCCAGTTAGATATGTACCAACAATCCTGCCCCCCCCCCCCCCCCCCCCCCCCCAATATACTATGAGCGAAAGTAAAGGGGACCTTATTCTCGAGACCCACAAAATATTTGCCTTTACTGATTTCCCATTTGTACATCATCTTTTCACTGACACTCATAGAAGGACAAGGAGATCACATAAGCTGGGTGCACAAGATTCATTTTGAACACTGATCAGAGTGAAGCTGTTAAGGCGGACAAATAGTTTCCATTAACAGAAGTCATGAGTGACCAGTGTGTGGTGTGAAAGAAAAACACACCCAGCTGTGACTTGTTCAAAGTTTAGTAATGATAGCGTACACTGGTGATGCATGTGATGCCTGCTGACACAGTGGATGACATCACACACAAAGGTCAAATCACATGCATCATGTCTCCAACAATAGATACAATAGAGCTAGCTGGGATTCCAAATGAAGTGCCCTTGGCAAGCAAATTTGGAACAACTGTTATTTTGTTAAAAATTGGGATATATTTTATTGAGTTATTATTTTCCTAAATTCAGAGGTATTGTAACATTGAATTTTTAACATTGCATTCAATGCAATAATGTTGAACTGAGCATTAAAGCCTCTTTCACTATATTGGTCCGGGTCGGCGGAGTAGCCGAGGAGTTCAAACGTTCACTCATTATGCCAAAGATCCGGGTTCGATTCTCCATGTTACAGCGTTCCCGTTTACCGGTAATTACCAGTTTTGTACCAGTAAAATTAGGCTTGGACTGGTAATTCATGTGACTGCCAGTCCCTGTGGACCAGCAAATAAAGTACCTTATAAATCTTTGTTGTTGAACAAAACGTTGGTGATATTCATATAAGTACATTTTTTGAATAAAGTCAGCTTGTCTGTTACCATCAGGGTTTCCCCTTATCTATTTCTAGGTTAAATATCCATTTGTAGCAACTTCATCTCGAAATATTGAAAATTGTGACTCAAGTTTGTGTTAATGACGTATAGATCTAAAGACTACGTTACTTTAGAGATGACATCTTTGCACTGAACATTATGTTGAAAGAATTAAAAACAAATAATTTTCATATGTTTTTTTATTTGTTGAAAGTTAGGACTGGCAAAAATTAGGGGGAACTGGTTATTTTTAGAGTTGCCACTCCACAAGGACTGGCAGTGGGGATTTCTGGTATCCCCTGCCGTGATATTGGTTATAACAATAACAGCATGAACTGGGAAATGTTTCTTTCCAGTGGGGATTTCTGGTATCCCCTGCCGTGATATTGGTTATAACAATAACAGCATGAACTGGGAAATGTTTCTTTCCAGTGGGGATTTCTGGTATCCCCTGCCGTGATATTGGTTATAACAATAACAGCATGAACTGGGAAATGTTTCTTTCCAGTGGGGATTTCCGTTTATTTATTCAGTATATCATATATAACACATTTCTTATCCGTATGATTAGGTCTCCAGTATTGACGACGTTCTGTTGTACTCTTATGTAAACATCCTTTGTTATAATATCTCTTTTAATATTATTTGGTCTTCTAAAATGACGTTGGAATACAATAGATACAAACTAATACTTAGAGTTTATTGAAACAATACCATATACCGTGTGTTCATTTCTATGAAGATATATGAAGAAGCCATTAATACTAACCGCCTTTCAAGAACAATCGTTCACTATTTAACCTGACTTACATATTAAGTTCAAACCAGTTACTTGTATTTACCGTAAACGACAAATGCGGGTATATATTTTAAAGATACGAAATAAATTATCCCCGATGGGTCAGTAGACGTCTGTGTATTGTGAACGGTATTGTACGTAGTTGCGAGGAAGGTAGTATTACTGACTCGCCGGTTGCAAGTTAGTATGCGAGCAAAGTCCACATGTTGGTAGTGTTGACAATTTGCAGCGTTTGACAGCTGAACGCTGATCGCTCCCCTCAGATCACAATGGCCGAGGCCAGAAGCGCAGTGTCCGAACCAAGAGTCAGTAAATTTGAGGAAGATAAGACCACAGCACCAGACGTTTTAGATGCATGGCGACGGGGGCTCCTTAGACGTTTCTTTAGAACACGGTAAGATTCTAACTCCCCACATTTCTTAGAAATTAAAGTTTTCAATCATGATAAAACCCATGCGATTTGGAGATGTGACTGACAGGTGTCAATTTCACATCTTGTAGCAGATGTTCGTATGTTCGCCGGTATAGCTTAGTTTGTGTCTCCGGTTACACGCGAATATGGAGACCAATGGGACGTATTTGTATGTGGCTATTGATGGTATAGGTTTAGATGTTGATATACCATATCATGGGTATATTGGCATTAAGTATGATACAGGGGTACAATGAAGTATTTTGCAGCTGAATACAATAAACATTCATTAGGCTAGGCCACATACTAATAACGAAAACAATCATGTTGGCAAGACATGCAAAAGTCGAAATTAAATTTTATCTTTTTCCCAACATCTCCAACCTACAGTTACAGTTGTACTAATTGAAAACAATATTAAGAAGTAGAGATTATGTTTCTGTGGTCTTTATCACAAAATTTTGTTATTAACAGAATATTGCTGCTAGTCCGAACAGGCGGCACCATGATGTGAAATTTTGGAATGGAAACTATCTTAAAAGATGTGGAGCCAGAACAAGATTTTAGTTTTAATATTGTGTAAAAGGTTTATGGTTGGGATGTATTTGGGGGTTGTCTGGTTATTTTGTTTGTTGTAGTTTAATGCCACACTTAGCAATATGCCAGCATTATGACATCGGCCCAGTAATAATCAAATCTGTCACAGACGTTCCAGTGATCAAAATTGTGAGCAACGATCATTGATGTTGGGGTACTCAGAGACGCTATCAACCAAGTCATTGTGCCTGACCACCCAATCCATTTGGTCGTCTTTTATAACCAGCATAGGTTGCTGGGACCTATTCTAACCTGAAATACCAACCGGGAACTGTTTTGTTCCAGTTAGATATGTACCAACAATCCTGCCCCCCCCCCCCCCAATATACTATGAGCGAAAGTAAAGGGGACCTTATTCTCGAGACCCACAAAATATTTGCCTTTACTGATTTCCCATTTGTACATCATCTTTTCACTGACACTCATAGAAGGACAAGGAGATCACATAAGCTGGGTGCACAAGATTCATTTTGAACACTGATCAGAGTGAAGCTGTTAAGGCGGACAAATAGTTTCCATTAACAGAAGTCATGAGTGACCAGTGTGTGGTGTGAAAGAAAAACACACCCAGCTGTGACTTGTTCAAAGTTTAGTAATGATAGCGTACACTGGTGATGCATGTGATGCCTGCTGACACAGTGGATGACATCACACACAAAGGTCAAATCACATGCATCATGTCTCCAACAATAGATACAATAGAGCTAGCTGGGATTCCAAATGAAGTGCCCTTGGCAAGCAAATTTGGAACAACTGTTATTTTGTTAAAAATTGGGATATATTTTATTGAGTTATTATTTTCCTAAATTCAGAGGTATTGTAACATTGAATTTTTAACATTGCATTCAATGCAATAATGTTGAACTGAGCATTAAAGCCTCTTTCACTATATTGGTCCGGGTCGGCGGAGTAGCCGAGGAGTTCAAACGTTCACTCATTATGCCAAAGATCCGGGTTCGATTCTCCATGTTACAGCGTTCCCGTTTACCGGTAATTACCAGTTTTGTACCAGTAAAATTAGGCTTGGACTGGTAATTCATGTGACTGCCAGTCCCTGTGGACCAGCAAATAAAGTACCTTATAAATCTTTGTTGTTGAACAAAACGTTGGTGATATTCATATAAGTACATTTTTTGAATAAAGTCAGCTTGTCTGTTACCATCAGGGTTTCCCCTTATCTATTTCTAGGTTAAATATCCATTTGTAGCAACTTCATCTCGAAATATTGAAAATTGTGACTCAAGTTTGTGTTAATGACGTATAGATCTAAAGACTACGTTACTTTAGAGATGACATCTTTGCACTGAACATTATGTTGAAAGAATTAAAAACAAATAATTTTCATATGTTTTTTTATTTGTTGAAAGTTAGGACTGGCAAAAATTAGGGGGAACTGGTTATTTTTAGAGTTGC